TCCATGCCCACCGGTGCACTTGAAGTCCCTTTCCAGCACCTCCAGATAATTCACAAAAGGCATCTCACTGACCAGAACAAAACAAGCACGACCATTCCTCGCCCACGTCCCATATGCTCATCTCACTTGGCAGGGAATGTCTGTGAGAAGCCCGGGCACTGCCGTGGCATCTTTCGTCTGGTGGGGTCGCAGCCATCCAGGAAATGCCCCAGCTTTGTCCACATTGTCTCGAGGCGTGCTTCTTGGTCGCTCCCTGGCCCAACGCCGCAATTGTGCAGCACGTGGTGGGATGTCTGGCACACACAGACAGCAAGACAGACAGAGAATGGCCGCAGAAAGTTTGTGTCCATCATCCATCCATCCATAAAGTGCCCACATACATCAAGGCATATTTTGATGGCGAAGAGGCCGACAAGGGTCAGCAGAATTCCCAGGACCGCCAGAGTCATCAACTACCCACACACAAAACAAGCGCCATCCCTCTGCCCCTCCATATGAAGATCTACTCATCCCATTGCCGACTTCATGGCGCTCAGCTCACCAGTGTTGTTCTGGTGGCAGCCGCCTTGCACCTGCAGCACTTGACGAGCAGCACAGTGGCGATGACGTCCAGACAGCACAAGGGGATGGCATACAAGGCATACGCAGGCAGACCGTCCGTCATGTACCTGACACACAAGAGAGCTTTTGCGACGGATCTGCACCTTTGGTCACACACGTACGTCAGGTGCGGGTCTTGTTGCAGATAGAGGCCGAGCAAAAGCGGACCGACGGCCAGGAGAATGACGCCGAGGAGGCCTGACAGCCAGGCGAGCCGCTGGCTCCCCGCCAAGCCCCGGACAAAGATGGAGTCCACAACCGACGTAACCAGACGGGCCATCCTTCTCGAAGGGAAAACGACGGTGACGCGCGTCACCGGTTGGCCCAAGGTAAATCTGGCGGAAGTTTACGGCCCTCGGCGTCTTGCGCCAGCTGCAGTGCATTCATCAATGTTCGTGGAATCAGTTGGGCGCTGCTGAACGTGGCATTAGTGCGGTGACGCACATGTGTGTGTGTGCGTGTGTGTGTGTGTGAGTCAGTTCAATGTTCATAGCACCGCCCAAGTGTGTGTCTGGTGTTCACAAGTAACTCCAGACAAATCCATTCGAGTCTGCAATCATCAGATGGCCACAGAGGTTGCGTCCGAATCGACACCCACTTAGCCACACACACATTCTTCACACCCAGCGACATAGATGTCACCAAGTGTGCGTGTCCACACGGTGTCATTCACGTCGTCAGGCGCATAAGGATGTAGCGTGTGGCACCAGCTGCCGTTTGTCCAATCCGTGTGTCCCGTGCATCCCCGTGTGTTGAAGAGTCCAGTGAGTAGTAGTGTCTGCTAGATGATAGATACATACCAACAGACGATAGTCCTCCCTCCTCCCCCCGCCCCGCCCCCTTCACAAGCATGCATTCGCGTCTTCGAGTCTTGTAGACACGCGCGCTAAAATCGCACATTCAGGGTGGGTGTTGAGTCGTGTGGGATAGATAGCACCAGACAGAGGCAGATACAGAGATGCAGGCAGACGTCAAGAGGGCCGGGTGCGGCGAGAGGGGGGCGGGGTGAGGTGAGACAATGATTGGTTGAGATAGAGAAAGAGCGAGGGAAGAGAGAAGAGCGACTCTGTGAGGCTTTCCCTCCGTCACCCCCAAAATGGATACGTACATAGAGAGATCGATACATACACACACACAAGACAGACAGAAGGGTGTGGTGTTGTACTGCTACATTATATTTAAATTGAAAATACCCCCCGCGCACATCGACAACACCACCCCCGCGGCCGACCTCTCAGGGCACGTATGGGCCGCCGTGTCCCTCCCTCCCTGGCATCGCGGCGACACAAACATGATGATGTTGTCCACACGGTGTCTGCACACCCACCCACTCATCAGCATGCACCAACCTCTCACAAATCTAGGCACTCACTTGCTCACCCACACACAACAACTCACTCGTGTGGATGGTCCGAAGCAGCGAGTCGACAGACACCAGGATGAGGCCTGGGGTCGGGTCGCCCCTCCGTCGGGCCGGGTCGGTGTGCTCTCTCCAGTTAGATGTATGTATGACTGTGTACCCACCCATACCTCACTCACTCAGACACTACCCACCCCACCCAGATCGATTAATTTCTACCCCCCCCACCCCCGCCCACCAACACCCCGGCGGGCCCCCATCCACACCAAACAGCGAGCGATACACACATACGAACATACATACCAACATATGCACCCATACGTGGCCAGGCCAGCTGAGCTCACTCGCACGTATGGGAAGAGAGCGGCTGACCACCGGCAGGCAGGCAGGCAGGGCACCAATGGATTGATGAGTGAGTGAGGGGTTAGGTAGACACACCAAAACGACGGCCAGTCCATCCAAAACAACCCACAGCACTCTCATACAGTGTCGTGATCCATAAATATACATCTATGCAGCGGCACCCGCGTCGGCGCCTCCCCCGCCGCCGCCGCCCACTTCGATGCCGAGCGCGCCTGCGCCGGTGGGTCCGTTGGCCTGGAGCTGTCGGTCGTAGACGTAGAGCCCCAGGCCCTCGTTGCCCACACGGTCGATGTTGGTCAGCAGATCGGCGATCTCCTTCAGAGCCTCAACCTGCATGCATACAGTGAACAAGGGAGGGGATATGAGCGGGGAGTTAGAGGGAGGGATCTGTGTGTCGTGTGCACGTACCTGTTCGTTGAGGAAGTTGCCTTCGAGAAAGTCGGTGAACTGGGGATCGCCGTGCTCCTCAGCGACGGAATGCAGCTGACACACACACGCAGAGTGCACCCGTGATGGTGCGCGTGGATGTCTGTGTCTGTGTGTGTCATTCTCTCTCACCTTGAGGAGCGATTCGTTGACGTCTCTCTCCATCTTGAGTGCGGTCTTGAGCGCCGCAGTGCCGCTCTTGAAGTCATACGGCGGCGCGTCCAGGTCCTGCGCAATGAAGATACCGCCACGACTGTCACATCCATCCCCAACACATACAAATGCAACACACACATGACATGACATGCGCATGACGTGCAGTGCACCCGTGTGTGTGTGCGGGTGCTGACTCACGTGTTCATGTAGTCGATGAACTGCTGCGCGTGCTCCAGCTCCTCTTCCGACTGACCCTTGAAAAACTGGTAGAAGCCGGGCAGCCTGAACACGCACCACCACACAGCGACACCAAGACCCACACATACGTGTACCCACCAAATGCATGCCATGCCCTGTGTGTGACATGTCATGCTCACGCGATGTCCGAGCGGCCGAAGTAGGCGGCGATGGCCCGGTATGTGTAGAAGGCCTGAAACTCCATCCGCAGGTGTGCGTTAAGGGCTTCCTCAACCTTCTCGTGGTAGTTCTGCCGCTGGGCCAGCTTCATCGACTCGCCTGCCAGCAGCGACGGCACGCCCTTGGGCTTCATCTGAGGATAACGCGCCATGCGACCTGCAACCACATACACGAGCGAGCGAGCGAGACACAGAGGCAGGGGGCACACATGAGCACGTGTGGTAGCTGCTATCTCTCTGTGGCGTGACATGCAGTCCAGCACCGCCTCTCTGATGCACGAGGACACATGCCCTCCTGAATCTGACTGGTGATAACCCCGGCTGTCTTCCGCCCTTTTTCGTCGGCCCTGCTCACCCAGTGATCCCTTGTTCTGTTCGGCGAGGGTCTCGGCCCGACAGAGGGGCGCCGAGATGATAGACACGCAGAAGACGAACGCCCAGATCTGCTTCATTTTCCAAACACCGAGATCACGAAACTCCAGCCGACAAGACACAGGCAGCACACGCAACAGGCTCACAAGAGTGTCCCGGTGAGAAAACCAACGAGGGATCTTTCGAGTGCGCAATGTCACCGTGAAACGCGCAATCTCTCCGTTTCACAGCACCTCAGTGCCCTTAGCTCGCCACAACTTTTCCCGTGCAATAATCACCACCGCAAGCGGTCCTAGGAGCATCCTCCACGTGTGCATCTAGCTGATTTTTGCACCCCTGCCAATAGATAAGCAAGATGGGAGGTCTGCGCACCGTGAGCAAGGAGGAGATGGAGAAGCATTCGTCCGAGGACGACTGCTGGATCATTATGTGGGGCAAGGTCTACGACGTCAGCAACTACATGGTTGACCACCCGGGCGGACCCGACGTCATCGTCAATCTCGCCGGTATCAACAGGATGCCACGAGATCTGTCTGGCGGACGGGTGTGCTCATCTCCCTGCTGTGTGTGTCTGCGTGACGGTGTGTGCAGGTCAGGATGCGACCGAGGAGTTCGAAGGCTACGGCCATAGCGACGACGCACGGAAAATCGCCGACGAGCTCTGCGTCGGTGTGCTCGAAGGTACAGCAGATGACTGACAACCACGCACACGAGATGCGCACATTCACTGCGGGATCTCTCCGTCTGCGTGTGCAGGTGCTGATGTGAAGTCGTCCTGGTCGGCGATGAGTGCCTTGGGAGGCCCCAAGGTGTGGCTGGCGGCCGCGTCCATCACCATGGCAGTGGGAGTCGGGCTGATGGTGGCGACCCGGACAATGGCGGCCAAGAAGGCTGCATGACGTGACGTGTACGTGAACGTGTATGTACGAGTGATGCGCTGACCGGCTGACCTTTTCACTGCTCTCACCAGCATGTGGCTGTAAAGGAAGGAAGGGGGGGGAGGGGGGATTGGTGACCAGTATGGGTGGCTGCTGTGCACGGTGGCAAGAGGCGTTTTCTCCTGCTGTGTCGGCTTCATGTCCATCTTGGTCATCGAGCAGAAACACACACGAAATTGTGTGCTTCTGCTCGATGGCAGGGGCGGCGGTTAAGTGGGCACGGAAGGGAAGTCGCACATCAGACCACCTCTGCATAAATGGACGAGCGCAGCCGTCGACTTACACACACGTACGACGTACCATTTGGTCGATCGATCAGGGTCGTGTGACTGTATGTGGTGGTTTGGACTGTCTGTGCCGCCCATCACGGAGACCAGATGCAGCACGGGAGTAGGGGATGATACCCCATCTACCTGGCTGTCTTGGCTTCAGTGATGGCCGGCACGATAGGCCAGCGCAGACAAGCACGGCGGGCGGACGGATCCTCTGACATCGTCATGCGTGCGTATGCGGATTTGTGGGCCACTTGAGTGCGATGTGAGTGGAAGCACCTACGTGTGACTGACGTGGTTTTGTCACTCAGCCCCTTTTTGGGCTTGGCTTCCCTCGCTCTCTGTTCCAATGACTTACTCGTATTGACGTGAGTGACTCGACATACGTGTGCGCGTAAAGGTGTCAACGGCATTCATCGCAACCCCAACGAAGTATCCTCCCACTCATCCCTCCATCCATGGGACACCACAAAGGTCAGTGCATCACGATAGCTCGAACAGAGGGAACCTAGCGCTTTCCACGTCGTGCGTGACATCCTGCAGGAAGCAGACGCTGCCAGCCACACCCTGCCCCCCACCAACACACACCATCCGCAGCTCAGCTACACAATCGTGTATGTGTTCATCTGAGTGTGTGTCCGGGAGTGTGGGGAGGCACCTCGTACAGTGAGAAAGGGTTGTCGGGCGTGCGGCTGCCCTGCCGCGCCTCGTCCGTGAACATGAACCCGGCAAACTCACACGCCCTGATCGACGTGCAGTGTGTGCACCCAACAGAGATGCTCATGCCTGCCGTCCGCAGGTGGGTACTGTACTGTACCTGTGTAGCCATTTGCGGTGGCGCGTGCAGCGGAATAGAGTCAGCAACACGTAGCCGTTGCCTGATCCATTGATACAGCACAGCCACCATCACAGGCAGACAATAACAACGAGACCGATCCCTCGTGCCTGTCTGCCCCACTGACCAGCGATTCCGTGGCAGGTCCCGGGGCCTTTCCGCAGCAGCCCGTATCGCCACACACACTCACCCGCACGCTCGGCCGCACGCAGATAGCGAACATCACCGTACACCTGTCGACACATGATGCCAACATCACACCTGCCCATCAGGTCGGCGTGAGTGATATCTGTCGGAGTGCGCACATACTTGGTAGGCCTTGACGAACATCAGGATAGCTCCAGGTGCCCCGTGACAGAAATGCACCAGGTGATCGGCCGTCTCGCCGACCACAGCAGGCCAGTTGTGATGGGCCGTCTCCAACGACAACAAATACTCCAATGCCTAAACAACAAACAAACCGCGCTGCGTCTGTAAAGTGCGTGCATGCATAAAGTGCGTGCATGCATTCGGCGTCTTTGGTCGACTGCGTACCATTCGGATGTCTCGCTTGGCCCCGGTCTTGGCCCCTTGTGTGCCCCCCATGAGTGAGTCCACGTGCATGAGCACATAGAGTATGCCCATGACGCCGTGCGCCGCGCCCAGATACTCGTCCCCCTGCCATGCGTACATGAGCGGCGACCGGCTCCTGTGCCGCGACGCGTAGTGCCGACCGGAGACTAACATGCGCTCGGCCACCTGATGCACCGCCGTGTCGACCTCGCCGACGGTCCGATTTATACCGATACTGGACAGCCTCTGCTTGATCAAGATGAGGCCGACGAGGAAACCCGCGCGGCCGTAGAGCCATTCGTCACTGTCCGTGTGGTGGAGGGCCGATGGTGTGTGGGAGAGGTAAGTCGACACGGCAGCCGTGACGGCGTCCTTGGATGTGCCCCTCCTGCCCAGCTGGAGGGAAGCTATGGCGCTCAGAGCTTGCAGCAGATGGACACCGGCAGGGCCGCACCTGACGTTGATGCAGAAAGGAGGCGTGTTGTGTTCTGTGTGTCTATCCTCTGGTTGCTTTGCTCACATGATGGATGGCCTCAGCTCAGGCATGGACCGCGACACAGACGCTGCTCGATGCGAAGCGGCGTCCAGGACCCTGTCAGCCTTGACCAAATAGTCACCATTCCGAGTCCGCAGGGCCACCTGGATGAACATGTAGGCCATCCCAGGGGCGTCGACATACACGCTGCCCTCGTCGTGGCCGTGGGTCCGCGATAGATGAGTCTCGATCTGACCGATGAGCGACGTGCACTGCCCCTGCAGCCGCGTCCTCAGCTGGGGTGACGGCATGGTCTCGTCTTGGCCTTCTCGATAGTCGGGCAGGTTGTTGGCAAAGCATCGCTTGTCGATTCGGGAACCCATCTCTGCGGCAATCAATGAGTTGAGTTAGTCTCTCAGGTCAGGGAAGACGAAGAGGCCGTTCTCGAAGGGCAGTGGGACGTGCCTGGCGACAGCCTTCATAGGCAGCGTGCCGTAGACGTGAACGCAGCCGTTCGATAGCAGGTGGAAGGGCGTCTTGCTCGTGGTGTCGTCACTTTTGGCCGGCGCTTCAGCTGTCCACAGAGGAGGCTGGTCGAGCAGTGCGGTGTCCCACTCAATCAACTCGCAGTCTGTCTGCCCCTGAAGGAAGGAAGATCAACACCCATTCCATGAATTGATCTGTGCATCGGAGTGTCTGCATGCACCTGGAAGTATCTGCTGGCCACTTCGGTGATGACCTTTGCCGTCGACAGGTGCAGGAAGCCGTCCTGCAGGTCGAGAGATGAGCCGACGAATGTCTGTCCGTCGGCGCTGAGAGCGGCTGGGAGCTCGTTTTTCGTCACGATTTTGTAGATGTGCCGAGGAAAGGGGTCGTTGCCATCCATCCCCCGGCCTCTTTTTGCCATGTGAGGTGGGTTTGTTTCCTTCAGCTCTAACACGAACAGGCGGACGGCGGAGCTTTGCTGCTTAGAGGCTCTCGCCGTGAGCGCTGTGACAAACAGTGGAGCGGACGAGTCCCTCCATCCACTCCATCCAGCATTCTTAAGACGTTTCTCGTCTGGCGGCAGTGAAGACAGATCTGCTGGCCTGCCTGACGAGCGAATTGATCATCGCGCGGCTTAGCAGCGCTCACCGACAGTGAGTGCGACGCGATGGGCTCACCACGAGCCACAATGAATGTGCCTTGCTGCCTTTGTGTGTCGGTGTTGTGCAGGTCGGCCTTGTTGACGGGGCGGACTGATTGGGCGCCTTTGCATACCATTGACTCATACTTAGGTGGGCGAACACACACACAAGGCATGCATCAGGTGTCTGCCCATCTCTCGTTGCCTCTGTGTGTGGTCGGTGCAGCTGTTGGTGTCGGTTTGAGTGAGTGAGATGTCCGGAGGTCACGACACCCACATGGCCTCCGCTGCCATGGCGGACAGTGGCGATGGCGACGCAGGTACGCCACACACGAATGAATGTGACACATCACACACACAGCATCAGCGCCACACGTGTGTGTGTGTGTCTTGGATTGCGTGTGCAGACGATCTGGCTGAGGAGGATAACAATGGCGGCAGTGGGCAGCCGGAGGGACGACATCACATTAGCGCAGACAGCGGTGAGTGATCAGACCTGCCACACAGACCATTGGACGCACACACACCAGCACCACACTTGAGCCGAGTCGGTGAGGGTGTGTGTTGCTTTCCAGGCGGCCAGCAGCAGCAGGATGGTGGTGATGGTCCGCAGGCAGCAGATGGAGACGAATCGGTGAGGCACTCATAAACACCAACACTGGTCCATGCGATGGATGCACATACGTCATTTTCCGCCCCCCGCCTCTTTTGTCGTGTGTCAGGATGGCATGCAGGAGGAGGATGGTGATGACGACCAAGATGACGATATCGATGACGGATACGGATACTCCGACGACGACTGGGAGAATGAGGAGGAAGGTACGCCAGACAGACGCGAGAGAGGATCCTGTGCGCACAATTACTGTCCGTTGTATGGTGGCTGTGTGGGGTGCAGGTCATCCTCTCAGTGGCCTGGCAGATCCCGCTGTTCCTGTTCCTGTGGCTGACGGCGACATCGGACTCGATGAGCTGGAGGCTCGCTTCCTCAAGGGCACCAACGACGCCACCAGGGAGCTGTCACGGTGGATCATCGGCCGCCGCTTCACCAGTGCGCGAGAAGTGACCGACCTCATCCGGCAGCAGGGCGCCGACCCAGATGTCATGCCTGGGCTGGTGGTCAGGGACAGCCGCGACATAGACCCCACCTGGTGCATTTACCCCCTCCTCGCCATCGCCATCGACAACAAGTCGGGCTACACCATCCAGACTGTCGAAGCCGATGACGGTGATGCCTGCCATCCCATCGCACTGCCACAGTGGTCATCTGACGGGCTGCAGTCGGCCGTCCTGACTGCACTCCTCGACGGAGGAGCCCACCCCAATCGACGGAGGAGCCCGCCCCTCCAAATGGCGATTGAATGTGGCAACGAGACGGCCTTCGAGCTGCTAATGAAGCGGCCCGGCATCCGCCTGCAGGGGTACAGAGTGATGGCGCTGCCCGAGCCGCTGAGTCCGCCTCCCCCCGAGTATCTGAAGGTGTTGCTGTCGATGTATCGGCAACTCATCGAACGAGACCACACCCTCGCCACCGAAGGCGGCGACTACAACCTGGTGCACTATGCAGCTAACAAAGCACGCGGCCACTACCTGCAGTGGTTCATCGACAGCTAGCTGGACCTCATCACAGCGAACGGCGCCGACATGACGGAAGGGACCGTCGTGCATGATGGGCGGACGCCACTGCACATCGCGGCATGGAAGGGCTCCCTCAAGGTGGCCGACTACCTCTGCCGCAAGCTGCCCGCTGACCAGATCGACAGACGGGACAACAATGGCCAGACGCCCCTCGCCACGGCTGCCAGATGGCACCATGACCACACCCAACGGCCGCAGGACCCCAACACTCCCGAGGCCTCCAAGGAGCGGTGTCGCGGCGAGATTGACAAGTACAAGCGCATCATCCATTCACTGCTGCGGGCGGGTGCCGACATCAGCAGCATCTTCACAGCCACAGAGAGGAGTCGCCGTCAGCGCCAGCCGGTGCTGACGGAGCATGCGGCGGTGCTCAACGAGCTGCCCACTGCCGTCATGTCGGCCGTCAACGCCGCCCTGCGACCTCAGCGCGAGATGGCCGACGCGCTAACCGAGGCACTCCACAATGCCACCGCCCAGCAGCTCAAGACCGCCTTCCCCTCATTCGACCCATCCCGCCCCTCGGTGCCTCCTCCCCCCCTCCCCCCACACGTCGACCCGGAGCCCTCCTGGCAAGACGACTACATGCCCTTCGCCAACCAGGACATGTCGGCCATCGCCTGGCGCGTGGCGTCGTCCTTCGTCAACCCATCGGTGCTCGAGCAGAGCCCCCGCCCCGTGCAGAACGTCACTGAGGTCGGCCGCCGCGTCAACACCGCGATGGCGCGGTTCGTGGAGGCCGCCGCATCGCTGCATGTGGTGGGCAATAAGGAGGTGGTGGGCGGGACGACCAATGTGGGCGGCCAGGTGGTGCGTGCGCCGCAGCTTGAGTGCTTTGTGGTGGGCGGTGTGGGTGGCCGCAAGATGGAGTTGCGTGAGGTGGTGCAGCGGGCCATCCTGGACGAGGCGGCCAAGTGGGGGCTGGTGGGGCAGATCGACAACGGCTTCAGAAAGGATGTGTCGGCCGTCGAGTGGGGGGCGGTGGGGTGGGTCGACAAGGGGCGGGACGGGAGGGAGACATTCAGACCGCTGCGGATGGCGTGATGGAGGGAAACAGGTGGATGAGGGCGGGCAGGCAGGCTCAGAGATTTTGCTGTGTGTATGGGTGGCTGTTGCTCTTTGATCGATTGCTTCTGCTTCCTGCCTGCCCGTCCATCCTGATGATGTGTGTGTCACTGGTGTATCTCTCTAGATGTGCGGCTCGATGGAGGGGCAGGGCGGTGGTGGGGCGATGGACAGAAAGGGGTGTAGCCGGCAGGCAGGCAGACAGGCAGATGGGATGGGTGGAGAGATGTCATCGCTTATCTGCTGCCTCTAGGTGAATTGATCGACACCATAGCCTCCCGGCTGGCTGCTTAGCGGGGCTGCATTGTGACCGGGTTCTGTGTGCATGTGCACGTTGACTCAGTGAATGAAATTCCATGGCCATTGTGAGCGGAGAGTCGTCCATCGCTCATCACCACCCACAAGTGCACCCACAAATGCACGTGTGCATTCTCGTCGAGGCCGCTGTACGTGTGTGGCTTCGTGAAAGTGGGGTGCGGCCGGACGAACGTTTCCATCATCTCGTGTGTGTGCGTGTGTGTGTGTAATGCGGTGCGTGTGAAATGGAAGGCGACACCCGTATGAAAATCTCATTGAGTTGACGGACATTGATATCTGTATACACGTGATGAGTGTGTCCGTTGCATCTGTCCATCTATCTGTCTTGAAAAATTCCAGCCACAGGAGAGCAGCCTTCAATCCATCCACGCGCACATACCTCCAACCATTGGCCGTGTTTCCGAATTGCACGCACCCACGCACATCAAGGGAGAGAGGAAGTCAGGCAGGCAGGCAGGCAGGCTTTTGTATCAAACTTGAGTACGCACCATACCATTACATGGGAGTCCACCATGCATCCATCCAGTCCGCTTCTCAGTATTCATTCGTCCGTCCATCCATCCATACAAATGCTCTGTCCGCCCACCGCTCTCTGAGGTTAACCAATTCGCTCTATGCAGGTAGGTAGATATGTGCACACGCAATTCGGTCAGTCGGCTCAATCCACCGACTGATCGCACACGGCAGAGGGACGATCGGGCATCGCCCGCCCGCTCTGCGTCTCCCTCGCAGATCAGCTGCAGCTGCACCACCACCAGAAGGCCGTCTACCGTCCCGCCATGCCAGCACCCCTCCACCAGCCTTGTCAGCATCAAATATCACCGACACCAATCCAGCTAGGCTAGCTGCACACACACATGCACTAGTGACACGATGATAATAGACAAACATGGGCCGAGTCTGTTTGTGTCTCAGCTGCTTTCGTTCGGCGTGAGCTTGTGTGCCGGGTACATCGGAAAGTTTTGCTTACTTGTCTAGGTCGGTTGCTCAGCGGTCTGGTATCGCCGCCGTCACCTGGCAGCATAGTAGTGGCCTGCATGCATGCAGCCACAGCACACACAGACGACACACAACACAATGAGGGCCAATTAATGCGGTCCGCATCGTATGCACTGCATGTACGGTTGAAATGGGCACGACACGTCCATCCATCCATCCAGGCAAGCAAGCAGGCGACAATCACGCGCAAAGCACACAAAACGATAGATAGATATCACGGGTAAGGTAAGGAAGGACAGCCATGCCATGCCAGCCCTCGGTGTGAATTTGTCAGCCGTGTGCTGTGTGTGCTGTCTGTGCACCCTACGTATGGATGTCTGTGAGTGCGTAGCCTGGGTGCGCGAAGCATCTGTGTGCGAGTGCTCGCGAGTTCGGACGTGACGAGAGTCAGGCAGCACCAACGAAGCGCACATCACATCAGAACGTCAAAATGTCCACAGATCAATGAATGTCTCAGAGTTCTTTGCCATCCATCCATCCATCCGCGAGACGTCAGTAGAAAATCGCCGATGGCGTGTTCCTCTCTGATCATGCCTGCCTGCCTGCCTGCCTGCCTTCCCATATATCAAATGCCAACCAGCCCACTGTACTGATTGTGTCCCTGTCTGTCTGTCTCTCGCATGGCATGGTGCGGATCGGATGTGCGCAAAAAGGATATATGACTGTGCACATGATGAATGCTCAAATTGGCCCATCCATCACGGCAGGGGGAGAGGGTGACCACACAGACATCCGTCTACAGAGAGGTCCAGACAGCATAGAGCGTGCAGTGCAACGTCCCGTCCATCCAGTCTTGTGGGCTGGCTGGGCACTTGTTCGTTTCCTTCTTTTCGATTCAGTCGCCGCGCAGAGGAATGACAGTCTTTCGCACAGTCACGAAATGCGCACCACACTCACTACTAACACATGGATGTCCTCCAGACCAGGCGTCACTTGCGAGACAGCGGTCCCGCGACACCATAATAGCACATCACACATCACACCACATGCACTGCTACGCTACTATCACTCATCCACATCCACAGACACGCACACGACGTCCTGTCTAGCCTACACTAACACACCTGTGTGGTAAGGCGCCGCTCGGTAGCTCTCGTGATGACTGCCGCCGTAATGGGGATAACGCGAGTGGCCGCCGCCCCCACCCCGACCATGGCCACGGCCACCGTAGTGCTGAGGATAGCCGTGGTGGGGATGGTGGTGCGATGGGGGCGGGGCAGGGCCGCCGCCATACCCGTAATTGTCGTACGATGACCTGATTGAAACGACCAAAGAGAAGAGCATGAACATGAGGTAAAGGGTGGGGAGTGAAGTGGGTCGCTTTCACGTACCACTCGTGCCTGTCAGGGCCCCCATAGTGCGGCCCGCCACCTCGCTGATCCGGGTAGTGGCCATACCACCTGCGGGTAACCCATCCATCCATCCATCCACCGTCTGTCTGTCTGTCTCTCCTCTCCCTGTTTCGTGTCTGTTGCCCACCTGTCCGGATGGCCTCCAGAGTCTCCCCATCCACCCCGAGACGGGGGATACCCATAGCCCCCATCGCCGCCCCCATTGCTCGGGTACTGGCTGCGGGGGTTGGACCCTGACACAGGACGGCCAGGGTCAGCTACAGCAGCACCGTACTCTTGCTTGATGGCCACGTCCGTGCGCTCCTCTGACTTGACCGCCACGCCGTTGGGAGTGGTCTCCTTGGTCTCGGGTTTCGGGTCCTGGGAAGCGGCCTCGCCCTCCTGCTGCTGGGCGTCGTCGCCCTTCTTGCTGCTCTTCTTGCGCTTCTTGCGACGCTTGGACTTCTTCCTGCACACAGAGATGCAGGTGAGCCGAGTGGCTCTGGTGTGATGATGTGTGGGCATGTTGGTGCTCACTTTTCGTCATGGCTGTCGCCGCTGGAGCTGGAGCTGTCACTAGAATCCTCAGCACGCTGACGACGGGCCATCTCACGCCAGTACCTACACGCAACACCATACATGCACGAAGCCGTGTTTCTCCCTCGCCCGTCATTCAGTTCTCACCTCTTATACTGCTTCTTGAGTGCCTTGAGCTGCTCATCGGACACCGGGGGCGGTCCGGAGTAGCCGTAGGCGGCGGCCGGCTGCTGTGGCATTGCGTCTGGTGGAGGGGGAGGCGGTGGCGGGAGTGGTGGGGGCGGGGGCGGAGGGGGATAGCGACCGTGATAGCCGCCATAGGGAGGCGGACGATACCCATTCGAACCAACAGGACCACTCTGCACAAACGGGATGACAGTCGACATGAATGACAGCTGATCTGATGTCCGTTTGTTTCAATCTTGTGGTTCAGTGCAGTGCCGCCCTCTCTCTCACATGCATGAAGGCGCCAGGTGCTTGTGGCGGGTGCAATGGCCCTCCCCCTCCCCCCGCCCCCGCTCCGGGCTTCTCTGTCCTGGCCAGCCCCTTGCCCGTGTTCCTCATGTAGCTCGCCATCTTGTCGACCTGCCGCGCGTCAGCCAGCACCTCTCCACCACCCTTCTTCAACCCCTCGGCCGTCGCCAGCTGCGAGTGCATCACCACGCCTAGACAGGGCGCACTGGTGGGGATCTGCACGCCAAACTCGTACTTGAGTGTCCAGTCCAGCACCACCACCGTCTTGCCCCCCCTACCACTGCTATCTCCAGTGGTGTCCCCGTCGTTCTGGCACCACGTCTCGATGAGCGGCTGGCTGTCGCGGGAGGGGTCTGACTGCTCGCGTAGAGTGCCGTAGCCGGCGGCCAGCAGGTAGGGCGATGGCTTGCCCTCCTTGCTCACAGACAGGCCGAGAGCGAGAAACAGCCGACCGGCACCACCCTTGCCCTTGAAGAGGTCCAGGATGGTGCTGGCCTGGGAGCTGTCGATGACCCACTGGTCGATCTGCTGCGCCATCTTGAGGTTGTCCATGGCCGCCACCAAGACGACACCGCCATAGGGAGAGGGGGCAGGGGAGGAGGGGGGCGGGGGATGCGACGGAGGGGGAGGGATGAACGGCGACGGGCCGCGCTGGTGGCCGAACACACCATTGTGCGGCGTGCTGCCGGCCGGCGATGGACGCATCACGTCATGCTGATGGGCGGGGAAATGCTGTGTGGGGAGTGCGTGGTTGCCCTGCGGCCCAGAAGATGCGCCGCGAGCCTTGGATGGGTCGTGCGGCGAGAGCCTGTCTGGCGTGGGGAGGATGAACTTGCTCAGGTCGAGTTTGTTCATGGCGTCGCGGAGTGCCTTGTTGGGGATGGCGCCGCGGAATCCTGAGCTGCAGAAGGGGCAGCTGCGATGCTTCTTGACGTACTCGTCAACACCTGAGCGACAACGGCACACGACACAGCCACCATCAGGTCACCCTGCTGTCCTTCCTTCCCCTGACGGTATCGTGTCATTCAGTCGTTGCCATACGCTTACATTTGCGGCAGGCGGACTTGCCTCCACACTGTGCGAACTGCTCACACTTGACCTGGACGGCATCCCGGTACGGGTTGTGGCAGAGTGGGCAGAGGTACTCGGCCGGGAGGGGTCGCTTCTCCTCCTCCTGAGGCTCCACTGCCTCCTCCTTCTCAGGCACATCCTCAACCTGCACGAGACACGAATGACGTCACGCACACCACACCAGTCTGTGCTTTGTTCTGTCGCTGACTGGAATGCCCCCTGCCTGACGTGTGTCTCGCTCCCTGGCTTCTCTCCCGCCTCCCCTCTCACCAGAAACTTCTCGGCCTTGACGTGGAGTGTCTCCCTCTTCCTCGAAGGCACCCTCTTGATGACCACGGTGGAGTTGTTGGGCACCTTGTCGCCACCCGTCAGCTCCTTGCCGCCCTCTCCATCCCTCAGCTCTATCTCGTGCACGGGAATCTTCTCCTTCTCGGCTATGGCGTACTTGAGCTCGTGAACGAAGATGTGAGCACCCTCAAACGGAATGCGGCCGATGTGGTCCGCTTGAGCGTGCGCAAAGCGGTATCTCACTGCCATTCTACTACGCGAGGCACACGCGGCGAATCACGCCGCTCGCCAGAGAAAGGTGTGCTGTTTAGGGTGGGTTACGTTTCGCGACGGATTTGAGCTCGCAGACGGGGAAAGGATCGAGGGGAGCATGTGTGTATATGGTGGTGTATTGCTTTGGTGGCTCAGAGGGCGTTCATTTTTCCACTTCCCCCTTCTGGCTTCTGTACGCTTGCCATGGCTCTTGCTGGGCGACAGCGCCCGTTCTTGTGTATGTAGCCGGAATCGGTGTTTGTCAACGTTCTACAAGGCAGCCAGTGCTCTCTGCTGCCATCTGTTTGTCCGCCGGTGCCAGTGCAGGGAGGGGTAGACAGGCCGTATGCATGCTTTGCATGTACATGCTGCTAGTTTAGTGCGTGAGACAACAGGATCCCTCCGGGGTTACAGACACGAGTCTCGTTAAACACACTAACCAACCAAACACACTAACCAACCAACCAACCAGCACGGAGGAGGGGGGGAGACACCGCATTGGCACCGCATGCATCCGAGCAGCCTGCACGTCTGTTAGGTGTGACGGTGTGAGTGGATGGACCGCGAGTGCGAGAGAGACACACACTGCCATGTGTGGCCACGTACGTATTTGTGATGTGTGTGGGCATGGAGCGAACAATGCGTCGCAGATGGATGGATGGATGGATGGATAAATGGATGGAAACACAAATTTAGATCGGCCTGTCTGTCTGTCTGTGTTTGGGCTCGCCGAGGGCATCGGCAGCTACAGCCCTCACACTTCAATCAGGCCACCGTGTGTGTGCCTTGCCTTGCCTTCTGTCCGCCCATCTCCCTCTGGTGCTGTCTGTCCTCCGTCCTCTCTCTCCGACCCACACACCTCACCGGTCTGGTCGGCCAATGCACATGAGTGGGGGCAATCGGAGGGGAGGGAGGGGCGGAGTGGACAGACAGCCAGAAAGGGACGAGCGAGCCAGACAGGCAGACAGACCGGCAGAGAGGTGTAAGGAAACGAGTGAGAGCATTACGTATCACGAGGAGAGGAAGAGGCAGACCATTTATCCAGGCATCCATCTAGCCATCGGGTGGTGGGAGAAACCTGGAGAGGGGCATGTGTGCCACTAATACCATGTAAGAAGGTCTCACTCCATGTGGCTCACCCAGGCAGCTAGTCAGGCGAACAGGCCTCACACACCCACACACTCACACACACACACACACCGGCCGAACCACCAGGTCAAAACCGGCCAGCAGTGGAAGGCAACACACCAGCCCCACCCCCACAGCCAGGCAGCCAGCCACCCAGACAGGCGCATATCAACAGAGAGGGAGGGAGAGAGGGGACCTGCCTGCGCAACGCTGCGCAGGCAGGTCCCCCACCCACAGCCATTGGGTGACATCAGCAGCTGGTCTCTCCACAGAGTGGGCGGTATACGATCTCTCTCTACCACACACAGCCATCAGTCGATTCGGGCATCCAGCAGCCACAGACGGTACTGCAAACACTCTGCCAAGACAAACACACAAACAGGTGACGTGACACCCATACAGACAGAAGATTCGAACACACTGTGGTGTGTGTGGGTACGTGTGGTGGTCCGGTATTTGAGTTGGGTTGATCAGTCGTCGCTCTCCTCCTCGGCTGTCAAGAAGACACACACCCACACATACCTGGATGTGACGCGGGTCGGTGTGAGTTTATCTGTCGTCCGCTGTGTGTGTCCCTCCCTCATGTGTACCTCCGCTGTCCTCTCCGTCGCTGTCGTCATCCAGATCATCCCAGCCACCGCCATGGCCGTCGGAATCTACACCACACACAAACACAGACAGAGAAGAAATGCCATACATCCATCCACACATCCATGGCCACCATGTATGTGTATCCCTCCCTCCCTCTGACCGCACCGTCATCATCGTCGCTGTCGTCGTCTACTTGGCCGTCGAAGACGTATGGCGCCACTCGAGCCAGCGCCACACGGGCCAGCCGAGTGGTGACGGGGAAGCGGTCTTTGAAGGCACCGCTCGCACACACAGGCTCCTCGGTCGTCCAAACGTCGACACGAACCCTCACTGCAGACAGTCAGACAGAAATCACATGACATTTGACCACCGCCTGAGCTGCCTGTCTGTCGGCCTGACCATTGTCGTCTCCCATATGTGCGGTTGTCGACCACCCACCCAAAACCTCAATGGTAATCCACGCGACGAACTTGTGGCTGCTGTCGGTGAGCACCAGAAACCGCACCCGCGCAGCACTGTTGCTGAATTGGTGGTGCATCCGGCCACCGGTGTGTGGGGCGACTGGGTGAGGAGGCCATCCAGACGGCCGCCAGCAACCCGCCTGAATCAAACACACACAATCACACACGCACCCCTCTCAACCATTGGTGCCATTGATGTGAGACCTGTTGGATCGTATCGATGTGCGATTGATCGGGTGAGTCTTGTAGAAGTGGTCGTAGATCTTGCCCTTAGCGAACGACGACACCGACGCTTCGGTGTACTCCGACGGATCGGCCCCAAAGTCGATAGCGTGCGACACCACCCATCCGCCGCCGAATTTGTCCCAGTAGATGCGGCTGCGCACTGGCGGGTCATGCTCTAGTCGGTTCCGCTGATACAGATGGCCGGCAGCGAGGGGCGGGTTGAAGACCAGCTGGAAGCCGGGCTCGATGGGCCCCCGCACCTCACCGTTGGCACGGCGGAAGAGACGCAGGCGGCTGCCGTTCTCGAACCGCACATGGCGGCCGACCACCATGAGCTGCGCCAACACACGGGGAAGCGCCATGTACACCTACACGACACACACACACACACACAGAGCGAGAGAGAGAGGATGAGGCCTCTCTGCCTTCTCTTCGCCCCCCCTCTATGTGTGTGCCCCACCGTCTTGCTCCAGTGTGTGTTGATGTCGTCTGCCGTGAGGCTGAGAGGCAGCGTGCAGTCGCCGCACTGGCTGGCCAGCTGCAGCACCTCCCCCGTCTCATCCCACCGCCCGCCCTCCTCGGCTACCCACACCGCCGCCAGCAGGTCACCCATCCCCAGCGATGGGTCGAACCGCACCAGCTGCAGCTGCTGAGTGTTGATGCCGTCGCCATCACGGCTCAGTGAGTGGTCCAGTCGGCTGCGCAGCTGGTCTGACGAGAAGGCGTCTCTGATGTCTCGTGAGGCTGCCCTCAGCGCCACTGTGGTGCTGATGTCCGGGATGCGGTACCGATCCTCTGCGAAGAGGTGGGCGAGGGGGTGCTGCTCGTCGGCTGAGGGCCGCCCGCAACACCATGACCACACTTGACAGCAGAGGCGCCACAGCCACCAGACAGATACCTGCACACGAAGACATGGAATGCAATGTCTCACCACCCACCCACCTGCTGCTGCTGCTCTTGCTGCGAGTGTTTGTGTGTCGATGCGACGCCGTGGCGGTCGGGCGAGGCGAACATCTCATCTACTGCATCGGTCACGATCTGCACACACACACAAACGACACACAATGACATCAATACGGTGCTGTGCTGCTGGTCTCCTGACATGCTCACCCCTTTGGTGGTCTGTGTGTCGCCCCACATGAGCCGCTGCATCCTCAACGTCGTCATGCTCGACTCCAACACCGACTCGCTAAACGAACTCTGACTCGCAAGGGCCGCACTCTGACAATGAACAATCGGACACACGAACCCACACACACAGGCCTTAGATACATCATGACACGTGTCGCTTCAAATTTGGCTCACCCATATGCCGCCCGCTATCTGCTTCTGGTTGGTCTTGCGTGTGATGTAGACGGCCGTGGCGGCCAGCAGGGGGACATCGCACCCGGCCAAATCGATGTCACAGATCGACAAGAACTGCACACACAGACAGACAGACAGACAGACAGACAGGGAGAAGCCATTCGATGGCTGGCGGTGTGTGTGTGTGGCTGGCTGCCCGACTCACCATGAGGTATTTGGCGAATGAGAACAGGCGGCCGTGGGTGTCCATGCCGGCAGCAGTGAACAGCTTCTCCAGACACTCAATACCGCACACAGAACTATCAGCCGCCGCACGGCACACCACCTGCACACACAGAGCCAAACAGACAGACAGACAGACAGACAGGTCGGCGCTGCGCAGGTGTGCGTGCGTGTCTGTGTCTGTGTTTCAATACCTGTGCCTGTGTGTGTGTCGGGTCATCCGGCATGTCGTCCATCAGCAGGTGTGGCTCCAGCCGCTCGACGCAGGCGGCCACACACGCATTTGCTACCTGTGTGTCAGTAGCCAGCCAAGTGACACACACATCCCGTGAGTCGCTGCTCTCTGTCTGTCATTCAGATCTCTTTGCCTGTTCGGCGTTGTTCGTGTCGATGAGTTTGTCTGCGCGGCACACGTCCAGCAGCCGCACCGCCCGCATGAGGGTCGCGTCGCGGCAGGCCAGCCGCCATGCTCTCTTGACCATCCCGTCCACCAACACGGCTGCAACACATGACAGACAGCACAGCACACCTCTGTGCATCTGTGGTCTGTTGCGTGCGCGTTGTGTGTACCTCTCTGCTGCGGCCATTTCATGCTAACGTCCTGTTTGTCAGACAAACCGAACACAGAGGACCTCTTGATTGATCAGTCATGGCGGCATTCATCGCCTCACCGTCACAGCCGCCATGATGCGATTCAACGCCTCAACGATGAGTTCCAACCATCAGGTTATGTCGAATGGAGTTCCTGCTGCCCTCTGGAAGGTATCACAATCGCTGAAACAGGCTGTTGAGGAACGATCGAAGTGCGAGCTGGAATTTGAAGAACTTTGAAATCCGGCATCTTCGAGAAACCATCCGCTGATTGAGATCCGTGCAGATCTCGGCAGTCTTCTCGTCTCATCTCCATCTGCGGTTGTGCCGGTGCTGTCCATCTCTGGAATCTCCACCCCTCCCCTCTGAGTCTCGGCAGTGATGGCAATGGACGGCGGCTACCGCGGCGTCAGTGCCGAGCAGACGCCCTGGCTCAAGAACAAGGACCACGAGAAGGTCAGACAGACAGACAGACACACCACAGACACACCACACCTATGAAGACGTTGATCTGGATGCCGCCTTGATGTCTGTCTGTCGCACGTCATGTATGTCATGCAGTTTTTCAAGAAGACCAAGTTCCCCGCCTCGTTTTCCAAGCCGGTGGACTTCAAGCGGGTGCAGATGGACATCATTATCCACTGGATGAGGCGCCGCATCCCCGAGCTCATGGGCGTCGACGACGAGGTCGCCACCTCGTTCGCCGTCGAGGAGCTCAAGCAGCAGATCGAGTCTGAGGAGGACGTCGACCCCCGCAAGCTGCAGTACAACCTCACCGGCTTCATGGAGCGCAAGGCGGCGCCCTTCGTGGAGGAGCTCTGGGGCCTGCTGCTGTCGGCTAACGAGAACGAGGCCGCCGCCTTCATCCCCAAGCAGCTGCTGGAGGAGAAGCAGCGGGAGATCGACAAAAAGAGGGAGGAGAAGGCCAGACTCGACGAGGAGCTCGCCAGGCAGAAGGCCGCACAGGGCACAGGCACTCTCGGCGGCATCGGCGACTCGTCAGGCGTCCTCGGGATGCTGCCACAGCGCATCCGACTCGGTGGGACGTCACTCCCAGCAGTAGCAGCAGAGAACAATGACGTCAAGCGACGCAGCAGTCGGTGGGACAAGAAGGCTGACAGGGGCGGTGGCAGCAGCCCTGACGAGAGGAGGGAGGCTAACGGGGAGGGGCGGGAGAGGAACGGCAAGGAGGACGACCGCCGCAGGGACAGAGAGACCAACAGAGAGCGAGACAGAGGTAAGAAAGAAGACCATAGGCACACACCACAGCCTCTCTGTGTCTTATGTGTGTCAGATCGTGACCGTGACGACCACCGTGGTCGGCGTGAGGTGTGGTGGGAGAGGGGCAAGAATGCCCCACGTGAGCGAGACGATCGAGAGAGGCGACCGGACCGCGACAGACGGCCTGACAGAGACCGAGACCTCAGAGATAGAGGTATGTCAATACATTCGGCGAGCACATGTGCATTGGAGGCCCTCGAGAGAGGGAGAGGGCACGGGTGATTTTGGCGTGCATGCTGTTGTGTCATGTCTGATGTGTTACGTTGTGTTGTGCAGGTCGGTATGACCGCCACCGTGACGACTATGGCGACTATGACAGGCACCGAGATGACTACGGCGACTACGACAGGCGAGACGACCGACGGTGAGTAAAGCACAACACACACACTCCACATATGGATGGCCTTCGCTTTCATATTTGACCCTTCTTTGTCTGTGTGTCAGCCGCCCGCCGCCTGACGACCGTCGTGGCTACCGCCCTCGAGAGCGAGACGACCGAGACAGAGACTTCGGTAACCAACACGCGGCACACGCAGAGCACACAACCATTGCTCATATGCTTCTCTTTCCATTGTGTCGTCAGATGACCGGCGGCGCGACAAAGATGACCACCGTGACCGTGACGATGATGCGGTGCCCCGTAGTCGCAGGCGTGAGGAGGAGGACGCCGCCGAGAAGGAGCGGCACCGCGACCGTGACCGCAGCCGGTCCAGGGACAGGGGCAGGAACGACAGAGACCGAGCAAGGTAATCCATCCATCCACCCTAGCGGCCCACACCCGCACATGAGGCGCCTGCATGTGGCTGTGGTGTGGTGTGTCCCTCAGGCACGAGCCCGAGGCGAGTGAGAGTGACGATGAGCGGGACAGGAAGCGCAAGCGGAAGCACAAGGACAAGGACAGGAAGGACAAGAAGAAACGCCGACGGGACGGTACACCACAGGGCAAGGACAGACAGACGCGCTGGCTGCACATATCTACCACGCGCATCGCCTGTCCATCTGTGTGTGTGTGTCAGATGAGGATGGTTCGGACGACAGCCGAGGGCGGCGGGCCAAGAAGGACAAGAAGCACCACAGGGACAAGGACAGGGGCCGTGACAAAGACAGAGACAAGGACAGGGGAGCCCCCCGGCGGCCGTCGCCCAGCTCTGAGGACGTCCCCGAAGACGACGACGCCATGCCGCCATCACCCAAGCGCTGCAGAGACTCGCCAGACGACGGTAACGTAACCGAGGCAGGAAAGCAAGAGCCGGAGGGGTACACATGCCCTTGCGGATGCTCTTGCAGATTCGCGCAAGGGTGGTGGCGATGGTGACGTGGTGATGGTGGACGACGCGTCGCCCCGCAGGGTGGGCGGAAGAGGCGACAGCGCATCCCCCGGCGCACTCAGACGCGACCACGATGCCAACGACACGGCCGGCAAGACCTCACCAGCCAACCAGGTCTGGTCTCACACACACAGGGGGTCCACACACCGCCCTGCCCCGCCCCAGAAATCAATCTTTTCCGACTTTGTGAGGCGTGCAGGAGCGTCTGCAGCAGTTGAAGGAGCAGTTGCGTAAGATGAAGTCGCACAGCAGCAACGACGTGTCCCCCCGGACGGGCGAGGAGGCCGAGGAACGGCTGCGGGAGCTGCGCGAGAAGGCGCGGGAGGCCCTCAACAGGAGCCGCTCCCGTGAACAGATGGATGACAGCTACAAAGGGGGTGCTGGGGCGGCCAAGGAGGGAGCCGGCAGGTGACCGACTGCTGGGGTGGGTGCCTGAGTGTGCGTGCGTTGGTTGTGGGTCTGCTGCTTTCAAGAGAAGAGAGGTCTGCTGTGTTTGTCTGGTGACGAGCTGTGTGGGGTCCGTTGCTTCTTCCTCAGTATCGCCGCTCTTGCCAGCAATCTCCCTGCCTTCAAGAGCATCGATGGTGGTGGTGGGGCTACCGAATTCCACACAGCTTTCTCGATACGATACCCGACTCGATGACGTGGGGAGGCAGGGGCATGGTTTCATTGGGCCAGACGGGGAGAGAATGCTGTGGTGTGCGTGAGTGTGTCACAGTGCGTGGGAGCAGCTCGCGAGCGGATGCATCACCGATTCGACCATCATACTGCGTCGAAACGGGTGTTGCATGGCGTAGTCGAGCTGCTAACAAGCACTTGGCACACTGACATGGCTGGCTGGCGTGTGCATGCGGTTGGTTTAAAATGAGCTGGTGCGTGCCTTATTGCACGGTGAGACAGACGGCTGGACGGACGCTTGATCCATCAGCAAAGAAAACAGGCGGTTGATTGAAAGACCGGCTGCCGGACGCAACGCAATGTCACTCCCCTCGTTGAACCTCCTTGTGCATGATAGCAGTAATAACAGACGCCACGAGCAGGCACGCCACACTACACCTCACCACACCACATTTGCCTCTCACTTATGCACTCGCTGCCTGCCTGCCTGTCCGTCCTATGTTCTGTCCTGTCCTGCCAGTCAGCCCACACACATTGGTGTGCCTCCAAACCGAAGGCCAACCAACCCCCCAACACACACACACCTCTGCTCCATCTCTCTCTCTCTGTCCCATCTGTGGGCAAAAATACAGCAAATCTATCTCTACCTCGAGGCAAAATTGGGTGGTCAGGTCTGTGTGGCGTCTACCAATGCTGCAGAAGCAAAGGCCAGCCCAAGCTGCAGAAAAGAAGACGCTGAGTGGGGAAAAAAAAAGATGCAGCGCTAGGCAGGCAGGCAGGCACGCGCATCAGATACACAAATAGGTCTGGCTAGTCACGGTGGCTGGGATGGGGCGGTCCGGTGGGTGGATGTTGCGATTGGGGGGCACTTCAAAGTAAAAGTCAGTCAGTAGGGAGGCCAAGGGCGATGCGTGTGTGCGAAGTGGTGAGGGGGGGGAGGGGAGGGACTACGGTACACTCACTGCGATAGGCACAGCTGTGCGGACAGGCACACAGCACCGGGCAAAACGTACACTCATGCACCCACCCATCACATGCACAGCGTACACGGCAGAAAAGGACTTACAGACACACACACAGACCGACACCAGCCACACACGGACACACACGCAGCTCTGCTCTGCACTGGTATGGCTCTTCATGTCTTGAACAGGCCCAAAGGGTTGGCGTGCGCCTGAAGTGGTGTGTGCAAACAGACAACATGAATGAGCCACATGCTATCCGTCTGTCTGTCTGTCTGCATGTGTTGCACCCTCACTCACTCGTTTCTTCTCGGGCTCGTTTTGTGTGAACAGGGGCTTGCTCGACCCAGGCGGAGGATTGTCTGCAAATACATACAAAGAAAGAAATGTATGTGCGTTTGTCCATCCGTCCAGGTGTATGTATGTATGTCGCTAACCGAACAGCCCGCCCCCTTTCGGTGGGCCCCCTGCGCCCTGACGGCTGCGCGCGTCTGAGTAGACACACACACACAAAGCGACAAGTGCACATCGAATGGATGGACGACATCCGTCATTGCTCACCTTGTCCGGGCTGTCCCTGTGGCGCCATCTGTCCCGGCGCACCGGCCTGCTGCTGCTGCGAGCCCGCCCTGTGTGGGGGCGGGGGCGGAGCACCGCCCACATGCTGCTGTTGCTGTTGCTGCTGGGGCGGTGGGGGGGAGGGGCTCTGCTGCTGGTGTGGGTGTGGCGTGGGTGAGGGGTGCTGTGGGGGTGACGTGTGGTTGGTCCCCGCCTGAAGCGGGGGGGTGGGCTGCGGCCCGCCACGGACAGTGGGGCCGTTCATCATGGGAGGGCCGCCGTGGTGCTCTGGCGCTGCTGCTGCGGCTGGGGGGCCGCCGTGTTGTGTGGCGGGGTGGAAGGGGTGTGGGGCTTTGCCTCGGCCGGCGGCTTCGGCCTGGGCCTGAACGCGCAGCTGCTCCTCGTGGAAATCGGTCTCGTACTCGTGATCGAATCCCTCCAAGTTCAACGCAGCGATACTGAGGGAACAGACAGGCAGAACAGACAGGTGAGGTGGGTGTGGGTGTGGGTATGGGGGAGGCGATTGGTTGTCTTACGTGGGGTCTCGCTGGAGGACTTGTGACGCCTTCTTGAGGACATCCATCTGCAGGGTGAGGCTCTTGCGCTCCTCAACGATGTAGGGCGGCTGCACACACAGAGAGAGAAAGAAGACGTCAAATGAATGCCTTCAGTCATGGGATGATATCTGTGTGGGTGGCTGCGTACCTCTCCGAGGAGGTCATTGAGTATCTCGGCTTTGTTGAGCTCCGTGTACAGCTCAAACTGAAGCTTCTCCTGCACACACACACACACATACACAAACCACACATTGCCATTCGCCTGTTTGTTCGTTCGTGTAGTGCCTCAGCCCACGTGCCTGGATTTGTCTGACGAGGAAGAAGCCCACTGTCTTGGGCACCGTGTCGCGGATGTTGCGCAGCACTATGGCGAAATACGAATCAAGACGCTTCCGAATCTCCTTGATGAACGGACCTGCACACACACACGGACCCAGGGGAGTGATGTGTGTGCGGTGGGCGGGGCGGGTGAGCGAGCTGCTGTTGGCTGCTCACCGCTGTATCGCGTTTTCCTGTTGTTCCTTTCCCTCCCGAAAACCGAGCCGCCAGCACCAGCCTGCTGCTGCGCATTAAGAAACGCTTGAGCACTGCGCACAGATCGACCCATCCACACACAACACACATTCCCATGCTGTGGCGGACTGCTTCTGTAGTGTGTGTCTGTCGCCTCTGACTGACCTTCTGGGCTCTCCAGGTCTGGGATTGGGGTTGCTGGGGTGGATTTGGCCCATGTGTTGGATGGGCTGCCCCTCGGCATTCATCGCATAACCGCCGGGGCCCTGCGGAATCATCTCTGATACCACCGATGGCACATACGTGATATACATACTGGAGGGCGAGGCGGTTTGTGTGTGTGGTGGCTGGCTGGCTGGCTGACCTTGGTTGTGCATGGGGAGCATGCTGCCGTGGTCCATCAGGTACTTGGAGTCGTTGGTGAACAGATAACCTGCACACACGCGCACACACCACAGCGGTTCACTCACGGCAAGCCCACTCTCTCGATGCTGTCTGTGTCCCCGCCCACTCACCGGTCTCAGCGGCGACCAGGTTTTCGAGTATGGTTTTGACGGTGTCCTTCTCGCGCAGCATGATGGTCTGCGTCTGCTCCAACACCTGAGTGAGTGACGCACAGACACATGTAATTTGACAACACACAAGACGAGACGCCATATGGCCCTTCATCCACAGATCCACCTGTTCGGCGAGTTTTGGGAATCTTGAGAAGACCCTGTTGGCGATCTTCTGCGACAACAGCTCCAGCGTCTGAGACACCCGGTCTGCAACCAAACAAGACAAGACAAGACAAGACACCATCAGCAACACGGACAGAACGATGGCAGCCGTCTGTCTGTCTGTGTGTGGCGTCTGTCTGGGGCACCGACCGAGGCATTCGAGTACGGGTGCGTGGACCTTCCTGAGGTGCGGCAGGATCAGATACTCGAACGTGTCGGGCGAGGGGAAGCCCGGGATCGAGTCGCCCTCGTGCATGCGGATGGCGCTGTCAATGTCGTAGTCCTGAACCAGCAAACACAAGGGCAATGGATGTCAGCTGTCGCCTGTTCCTCTCTCTCTCTGTGTGTCTCTCTGTGTTGGTACGGACCGTCATGTCGGCCGTGACGTCCTTTTCGACGTATTCCTCCAGCAGGTCATTGAAGATGGTGCGGATCTGCGCACCCCCAGTCAGATCTTGCTGCACTCACACACACACACGAGATGCGCACACACGATGGGTGGACACCGATGCGGCCTTGTGTGTGTGTGTGTGTCGGTTGGTTGCTGACGTGTTCGAAGTAGTTTTGGAGTTTGCGGTCGAATTTGCCCCTGATGGTGTTTTTGAATATCTCGCAGTAGTCGGTGATCATGGTCCACATGAGCTGCACCCGCTCAGCCACGTCCACAGGCACGCCCTCGCCCAACTCGTCCAGACGCATACTCACGGAACGAGCCTTGTTGCTGACCACACACACACATTGTCACACACGAGTGAAGGATGCACTTGGGAGGCTTCTTCCGCGTGTGTGGCGGTGTACTTGATTTCTCGTTTGATCTCTGGGAGGAAGTTGCGGATGTGCCGGAAGAGGACCTTGGTCAGCTTGTCGACCAGCGAGCGGGACCCCAGGTAATCTGCAGGCAGGCGCGACAGCATGCATTCCATGGCGGGTATCGTATCTTGTGTGTGTTGGTTACGTGGGGGCAGTGCGCGATAGGTGGGATGGTTCTGGAAAAAAGTCTTCTCCTCCTGCAATGCACGCAGGAACGACAGCATCAGCACAGATCTGATCGGTCTGCGGTTATGCGTTGTGGTGCTGGTAGCCGACCTCAAGTGCCTCTCTGACTTTCTTGCCGCCCTTGATGTCGGCCTGGCTGCGGTTCTTGACACCAGTGTAACCCAAACGCAGAGGCACATCCTCACCCTACACCATCACACACGCAGCCAATGCAAGCAGGCAGATGGATTCCTCTTTCCGTTGTGCCAGCCATCTATCTAGCGATGTGGTGTACCAGGAGCATCTTGGTGGCGTCGGTGCCGCGGTCCATCAGGTCAATCTAAGCAGAAAGCAGACAGACAGACGACAGACGGACACCGCTCCTTGCACTCCTTGTCAATGTCACTCTCTCTCCTGGCATGTATGTTCCCCTCCCTCACCTTTGTGATGACTCCGATGGTCCGCAGACCCTTTGGGTCCACCTTGCGCGCCAGCTGGAGGGCATCCGACGTCGACAAATCTGCAGAGACCACAACCACATGCCCATCAACGAGTGCCGCCATGGTGTTACTTTCACAGATGCGATAGGCGCCGCACCTGCGTTGGCGGCCATGACGGCGAGAATGATGGTCCTGGGGTCGCGCACATAGCGCAGCGCCATCTCACGCGTCAGTTTCTGCACATAGAGGAGGAGAAAATCACCCAGCCCACATGCACGAAGCCCGCCTGGCCTGATGGTGCGTTGTGTGTGTGTGTGACCTCAATATCGTCTGTTTGGTCGCTGCCCTTCATGGGCACCCGTGTGATGCCGGGCAGGTCAATGAGGGTGAGGTCGGGGCACTGCGTCGCATACACCGTCAGCACTATCGGCTCGTCAACGATGCCCTTGTTCTTTCCTGCATACACACACACACACACACACACAGGGCAGGGTGATGCGTGCGGGTGTCCATGGACGCCTCCGTGATTACTGCGTTTGCTGACCTGCGACTTCGTCGGTGAGTCGTTCGATTTCGCCGCGGACCTGCTCGAAGTGGGTGTACTTCTTCTGGGTGCCCTCGAACAGCGCCCAGGCCTCCTCCAACTTGTGCTCAGCTGCACACACAAGACAACACACAGACCATGTGCACACGGCATGCCATCAGTCGACACTGGCTGCCTGGCTTGTTGTCATCCATCCATCTAGCTCAGCTCACACACATACATTCGGAGAGGTGCACGAGTCTGAGTTCGAGTGGTCGTCGAGTGCAGATGCCCTCGCCGCGCGGCAAGAAGTCCATCCCCACTATCGACTCGAGCACGCTGCTCTTGCCGCTGCTCTGGGTACCAACCTGATAAGCCACCACACACAGAGAGAGATGGAGGATGCATGTACGTGCGTGAGTCTCAGTGCGTGTTTGTTGCATGTGCTGACCACACATATCCGGGGGAGGTTGATGTACTGCTGCAGCCCAACGTCTCGCAGCTCGTCCTGCACGTCACATCACAAGCAGCAGCCACACACACATGCTGGAGCGTGTTTCTTTCCGCCTCTCCCCTGGCCGTCAGTCAGCGTTCGTACCACGACATTGATCAGCCGCCGCAGATTCTGGTACATCTGGGAGTCCATCTCTGCTGGCTAGCTGTCCTACACGAGACCTCCTACGCCCACGGGGTCTTCGGCGATGCCAATCTTAAGCTGATGAGACACCCGGATCTCCGCTGGAATGGCCCGCGTGCGCAACAGAATGCTTCACCACAGTGATCCGATGCGCACTAGAGCGCCAGATTGTTCTCCCGTCACCAAAGTCGCCGAAGTCGCCAGTCTAAGCTCGCATGTGAGGCCGACAGCCGCAAAGCAGCGAAAGAGTGAGGCGTCCGAAGATGGCAGCGGGTGCGATGTGCTGGAGCGTGTTGATCTTTCTCGCTTCTGTCTTGTTATTCCCCGCCCTCGGCTGCATCCGGCAACAGGAGGACCTCTGGGGCGTGGCGGAAAAGTGGGTTGATCTCGTCGACGCCGTCACACACCGCACAGAGCAGTCTGCTGCGGCGGCATGTCGGCAATGCGAAGACGATGATGAAGACATGCTGGTGGATGCAGCACTGGTGGAAAGCTCTCTCGGCTTCGTCGGCCTTCCTGCCCGTGTCAGTCACGCCACCGCCCGTCCCTATCGCAGTTCTCTTCGACGAATGCCCTCTGCAAACACTCTGAGGGCGTCAGCCATCGCAGAGCCACCGACCACAAGCAGAAAGGCGCCTCCCGTCGTCTCGTCTTCCCGTGTCAGCCAGATCACGCCAGCGGAGACCTATGTCAGCCCGGCAGCCGGCAGCAAGGGCACGGTCGTTGTGGCTGGAGCAGGCTTGGCTGGCCTGTCTGCGGGCAAGTATCTGGTGGACCAGGGGTACACCCCCCTGGTGCTTGAGGCTCGGGACGTGTTGGGCGGGAAGGTTGCGGCGTGGAAGGACGAGGATGGTGACTGGTACGAGACGGGTCTGCACATCTTCTTCGGGGCGTACCCCAACACGCTGATGCTCTTTGAGGAGCTGGGCATACAGGACCGCCTGCAGTGGAAAAACCACTCACTCATCTTCGCCATGCCCAACAAACCTGGAGTGTTTTCGAGATTCGACTTCCCTGGTGAGCACAGCACCTGCACACAGATACAGCATCACAGAGGCACGGGTCATCATGGCATGGAAGAACCTCGTGTGTGTGTTTGTATGTGCATTCCATGTGTTGATGCTGCCAGATATCCCTGGTCCTTTCAACGGCATCTGGGCGATTCTGACCAACAACGACATGCTGACGTGGCCCGAGAAGATCAAGTTCGGTCTTGCACTCATCCCGGCCATCACCAAGGGCCAGAAGTATGTCGAGGAGATGGACAGGATGTCCTTCAGCGAGTGGCTCAAGATGCAGGGCGCGCCCCCACGCATCGAGAAGGAGATCTTCATCGCCATGAGCAAGGCACTGGCATTCGTCGACCCCGACCAGCTCTCCGCGACAGTCGTCCTGACGGCCCTCAATCGGTTCCTGCAGGAGGGCGACGGCAGCAAGATGGCCTTCCTCGACGGAGCGCCACCTGAGAGGCTGTGTCAGCCAATCGCCGACTACATCGAGAGGGCCGGCGGCAAGGTGCTGCTGGACAAGCCCCTGGAGCAGGTTCTGTTGAATGAAGACAACACGGTCGCCGGCTTCCAGATCCGCGGCGTCAAGGGCCAGCAGCCGGAGATCATCACTGCCGACCGCTACGCCAGCGCCATGCCCGTGGACATTCTAAAGAAGCTGCTGCCGTCAGAATGGGCGGCGATGCCGTTCTTTGACAACATCACGCCGCTGGAGGGGACGCCTGTGATCAACATCCACCTGTGGCTGGACAGAAAGGTCAGCGACGTCAACAACCTCCTCTTCAGCAGGAGCAAGCTGCTGTCTGTCTACGCCGACATGTCGGTGTGCTGCAATGAGTACAAGGACGACCAACGGTCACACCTGGAGCTCATCTTCGCACCGGCCGCGGAATGGATCGGACGGTCAGCTTAGCGAGACGAGAAATCACAACAGAGAGCTCACAAACACGATGCATTTGCATGTGCATGTGTGTGTGCATGTGTTGTGTGTTCATCGGTTGGGTTGATCAGGTCTGACGAGGAGATCATCGCGGCCACTGTGAAGGAGCTGGAGATCATCTTCCCCGAGTACTTCGGCGCCAACGCGCGGGACCCTGCCCAAGTGCGCAAGTACAAGGTGGTCAAGACGCCCCGGTCCGTCTACATGGCGCGTCCTGGCATGCAGGCCCATCGGCCCGACCAGAAGACGCCCATCTCCAACTTTTACTTGTGCGGCGACTGGACAATGCAGCGGTACCTGGGGTCGCAGGAGGGGGCCATCCTGTCGGGCAAACAGATGGCCGAGGCCATCGAGGCTGACAGGGCAGTCAGGCCGCGAAAGGCCGTCTCTTCCGCTGGAATCCCCGCCTCTTTCAACGTCAGGCAGATCCGATAGATAGCGGGGTCAGGGCAGGGATCGACAGATCGAGAAGATTTTTCACACTGACGTTCCGTTCCGTTCCGTGTGCAGAGATCGATTCGATCGGCTTAGCTAGCTAGACTTCTAGCCACCCGTGTTGTAAAGGCGGCGGTGCGGCAGGCAGGCAGGGCAGGCTCGCAGAGGCGCTGCTGGCCGGCTGCTTGCACTGGTGGGCTGGGCTGTGTGTGTGCAGATGGAGGGAGGGGAGGGATAGCTAGCTAGCTAGAATGGTAGAGAGATGGACGGGTGTGCGCATGGCATGGCAGATCGTATCGTCTTGTGCATCAGTTTTGCTGCGCTAAGCTGGCAGAGAGACAGATGCACAGTAAATAACGTGTGTACGGTGTTTCACGTGATGTGGCTGGCGTGGTGAGAGAGGCCGCCTGCTCTCTTCCTTGTACAGACAGACAGACAAACGACAGAGAACATGCACGTTGGGATGGATGGATGGATGGACGAGACCGTCGAGCCGCACAATCGTACTTACAGATGAATTTTTGCACCTTAAGGAGTTTCGTTTGTCCGTTCATTGCAATCACACACAGCTGAGGGCTGCGTGTCCCACGAAGAACTCACGAGCACAATCGAACCCCATGTGTTCAATCCTGCCAGCGAGCACCCGATGGGATAAGCAGACCCCGACCGCACGATGGGCATTGCACACGCCCCACGCGACAACACATACTGCCCTTCACCCCACCCGTCCGTCTGGTGCCATGCCATCCTTCGGATGCACGCGTCGTTCACCCACATTATGGACACACCGTGTGTGGAGTACACTCCACACGGGGAAAAACACAAGTGTATCTAGCGAGTCAGTCGCAACACACACAGCCAAAAACGGCGGCCACAAAACTGCTTCGACGTGTTCCATCCATCCATCCATGCGTCAGTGCATCTTGAATCCACTGTGGATGGCCACCACACCGAAGGTCATGTTTGTGAACGTCACGCTCGTGAAACCTGCACACACAGACAGACAGACAGACAGGCACAAAGCCGAGATACGGAACCCTGTGACTCCTGCACGTGTGGCAGTGTACCTGCGTTGTGCATCATCTGAGCGAACTCCTCCTGCGGCGGGAACTTGCGGATGCTCTCAACCTGAGCACCACACACAGATACACACAGCCTCAACCGGATAAACGAAGGCATCTGGTACTGAGGGCTACTTTACTTTACCTACCAGGTATTGGTATGAGTTTCTGTCGTTGGCCACGAGCTGACCCATGAGTGGGATGAGCTGGAACGAGTAGAGGTCATACACCTGGCCCACCGCCGCATTCTCAACCTGCACACACACAGCGACCCGGCCGGCCATTCAGCGATGTGTGTCATGTGATGCAGGCGGATTGGTCCCACTCACCTTGCTGAACTCAAGACACAAGAAACGTCCTCCCTGACACAACGCGCACGCAGGACACACAGCAAATGCCCATACAGCTTTCAAATGTGCCTCCATCCTTCTCTCTGCCGTGTTGTTTATCTACCTACCGGTTTGAGGACACGATAGGCTTCCGAGAGACCCCGATCGATGTGGGTGAAGTTGCGGATGCCAAACGCTGACAGACAGAGGTGATAATGCGGACACTTCTGTTTTTGATCCATACATCCACGTGTTGGCTCTCCGCTCTTGGCTGACAGCCTACCGATGGTGACGACATCGATGCTGCTGTCCTCAAAGGGCAGCGACTCGCCGTCAGCACACACCCAATCAAGACCTGACAACCACATCAGGCGGCCGGCCAGCCAACACATTCTCCTCAATCATTGTGCACTGTGCGTCCCTGGTTGTTCTGTCACCCGGTAGGTTTTGTTCCGCCGCTTTCTGCCTCCCCACTCGCAGCATATCCTCGTTGGCGTCGCAAACCGTCACGCGGACGGGGAAGTGTGTCGACCCAAACGAGCTGGCAAAATGGGGAGTAAACAGCAGCTCAGCTGCCTGATGAATGACAACGATCTCTCTGGTTTTGTTGGTCTGTCCTACTCAGATGAGGAGGCTCTCCTTGGATGCACCAGGCTGGCGAGGAGGGAGCACTGCGCCAGGGACCCGAGAGGTCGCAGAGGACCGACCTCCACCAACGACTCTGACCGATCCATCGTGTGTAGATGCATGGAGCTGGCAAAGGAGCTTCTTGTTCGTGCCGTCAGTGAGCTTACGGGGAAAGGGAGGCGGATTGAGTTTGTTCTCGACCTTCCGGATGACACGAAATGCGATGTCCCCCGTCCCTCCGGCCACGTCCAGCACATGAAAGGGCGCCGCTGGGGGCTCGGTGTACGGCTGCAGGGGCGGATCTGCATATGCACGCAAAACAACTTCAGCGTGAGAGAGTGCGATGCCTGAGTGTGTGGTGAATGGCTGACCGATGAGGTCGACCAGCTGGTCCTTCCAGATGCGATGGACGCCGCCACTCATCAGATCGTTCATCAAATCGTATCTGCATCAACACAAATCGCGCAGCACACAGACAAAGATGGATCTATGAAACGGCCTCATCGATGTAGGTAGCACATTCATCCACCCACCTTCCCACCGACCTGTCTGCCACACTTGTGAAAACGTTGCCGACCAGCCGTGCCTTGACGTCTTCAGCGACACTCTGGAAGCCAAAGGGCACCTGCGACGAACTCGAGGATGACGATGCGCTCTTGCCAACGTCCGATTCATAGGTCGGGGGCTCCATGTCGGGGTGGAAGCTCTCGGCCGGTGGATCTTGCGCCCTGCCGCCAGGCTGCACAGACATGGCCCGCCGAAAGGTGACAGATGAGGCTGCCGACGGTTGCACATGGTGGATCTGGCCTCTTGGGCGCTGGTCGGAGTGGCTCACATTGGCGATGAACGTGACGGGCGGCGGCTGGGTGGATGTGAGAGCTGTTGCGCTGCCTGCCGTGCTGCGACTGCGGAGCAGGCGAGACGAAGAGAAGGAGAGGAAGCCACGAGATGAAGACGAAGAGAACATCGCGAGCGAATCGATATCGCGGGGTTTGTAGGGTTCAGGGTTCGCGACCAACCGCAGGCAACGGCAAAAGAAAGGCCATTGTTTCATTGTTTCGCACCCATCCAACGCAACGCCTTCTTGAGGAAAGAAAGCCAGTCTTCCCGTCGACACACAATTGTCCGCACATTCCCCATGAAGGCCATTTTTCTGGTTGCCCTGTTGCTAACGAGCGGGTGCGCAAGGCTGCCTGCCAGTTACTTGGCTGGTGGTTGGCAGCCGGACTCCTGTCTGTCCGCTTGGTGCGTGTGTGTGTGTGTCCACCCTGCAGGTACGCTCAGAAGGCGGCTGAAGAGGTGCGTAAGGAGCCGCATCATGACCTTCATCACGACCACCAGAAAGGCGACGAGGTGCGGAAAGAGCCGTTGCCTGAGGCCGAGGCCGAGAAGGCCGGTGGCCCTGGACACCACTTGAAGATGCACCGCGCCAAAGACGACCCCAATTACCAGTGAGTAGTCGGTCGGTCGACACACGATGCACCTCTGCTCTGACTGAATCGTGTCTCTCAATGGTGTGTGCAGCGGCGAGCACGGCTCTATGATCATTCCCGTGCCCGAGTACGAGAAGTACGGATGTTCGAAGTGCCACAAGCTACACACCAAGGGCATCAAATCCAAGACGGGCGACCAGGGTCAGTGAGCCCTTGAGTGAACCAACAGACAAGCCGCTGCTCTTCCCACAACCGATGCCATGTCCACATCTGCTTTTGCCCTTGTGTGCGTGGTCTGGCTGTGTGGACTGCAGACAAGAAGGAGCCGATCGCGAAGCAGTCGTGCAAGCAAGTGCGGGTGAAGGTGTGTATTGAGAACAGGACCAATGGCAGCGGCAACCAGCCGATGTCGCCCCCCCTCATCCACGCTGCCTCGAGATCCCTCGGCTTCTATAACAAGGGCGTCCTGGCATCAGACAGCGAGACAAGAGGCTTCTGCGACCTCGCTGAGGTACGCACACACGGACATACGTGACATCCCATACCCACACACGCTTGCCTTGCTTGCTGCCTGCGTCATAGGATGGTGTCAACAGTGAGGCGGCAGAGTGGCTTCGGCGCAATGTGGGAGACCTCGAACCTGCCACGGTCGACTGCGGCGTTTTGGCGGCTGAAGACGGAATTGCGCCTGGCGACACGGCCTGCTTTGAGCTTCGCCTCTCATGCGAGTGCGCCTTCATCAATAACGCCGGTGTCAACGTCCCCAAGGTGAGAGGTCAGTCACGGACCTTGTACACGCACACACATGAGATGCCCTTACTTCAATTCTTGCTTTCCTGGCTCGTCAGGAGGACGTCTATGTCAACGTCGCCCAGATGCAGATCATCACCAACGATAACTTGTGAGTGAGTGATGGGACTGACTGACTGATGCATTCCTTTCCTATCAGCTCAACTCGCTGTATCTGTCTGTCTGTGTCTCTTGGTTGGTTGCCTGGCTGCCTGTGTGCCGTGCAGCTGGGCGGCAGGTGACATTCTGATCACCAGAGAAAATGGCAACGACTTCCTGTACGAGGAAGCTGACGCTAGCGAGCCGCCCTTCCAGGCAGCGTTCACCTCCCTCGACGCCGGTCGGTCAGTGGGGCGCATGTCAACCAACAACTGTATCGGACCTATCCGTCCGTCTTGTCTGTCTAATGTCCGTCAGGTTGCGAGATCAACAATGAGTTGTGCACCCACATACCGCGCAGTCAGTGCCTCGCCCTCGACGCATGCAGTGCTGCACAGGTACGCAGGCGGGACAGATTGAGGGAGGGGGGAGACAAGTCAGATATCTTGAGACCTCCTTGCCTTCCTGCCTGCCCTGCGTGCCTCTTTCCTCTCGCTGATTGCAGGACGCCGAGACCTGCAATGCCCTCCGCGCCGAAGAGAACGGCGAGATTGACGACGGGCAATGTATTACGGGAGAGGGCGCTGGCAACAAACTCAGCCCAGGTATGAGTGTGCTCTCATGCAGCACATACATACACACCGAAACGCGCACATTAAAAAGGCCGTCGTCGTGCGTCTGTGTGTTGCAGAGATATATGGGTGTCCGGGCGAGGTGAGCAACTAATTATAAGCGAGAGCGATTTGAATGCATTAGCGGTTGATGAGTTCTGGTTGGTGCCCTGCGTCGTGTGTGTGCGTGTTCAGGTTGCTTCCATGACCATCGAGGTTCTCGAGGGCGCTGCCGATGGGCCCAACGGACCTCCCGCTGGTCCGTGAAGACCGAATGTGACCAGCGAACACCCGGTAGTCGCGCCCTCGCTGGAAGGGGGAAGTATCACTTTACTCACTCTCATCCCTCTTGCTAGGGCGGGCGGCGGGCTGATGGATGGAGGGACGTGGTGAATGATTCGCCACTCGTATGCACACAACATCCACGAAATGGTTTTCTCTCTTGTCTGTGGGGATGGGCAGAGAGACGACCCACAATTTTCTTGTGCCTATTTTGACGCACACCAAGCAATCGCAGAGAGGCCGTCCTAGGCAGATGTACGATGGGCGAGAGAGCACCGCATTGACATGCTCGCGGTGCTGCACGATTTTCCCACTATTTTGACAAGCTGGCCTTTCCGACACGCCAGCCACTTTTCCACGCCAGCTAGTTTTCTCCTTACCTCGTGTGTCGCGAGTGAGTGCCTCTCTCTCCAGGCAGGCCAGAGAACTGTCTTAATGCAGTTGGTTGACTACATTGATCAGATCGCATCGTAACACGCAGAGATCTGCTGCGATGGCTGCCTGGCTGGCTGACTTTGCTTTATGTATGTATCTCTGCGCCCATTTGTCTGTATTTGTCTCTCTACAGCTGCTGAGTAGCTCTTCACTGACTTGCGTATTCTCTCCTCTCGCTGGCTAAGCTGTTCTCCCCTGCCTGCATCAGCGGCCGTACACACATACATGACCTGTATGAGGCAGAAAGGCGTCGGCCTCAGGTTTCCTCCTCCCCTTTTGCAACAATGATATGCCGACGTCTAGTGTGGTCGTAAGTGGGTGTTTTTAATGAATGCATAGGACGCAGCCCAGCCTGATGTGGTGTTTTTGATGAACACCTGGCGAGTACCTGCCTGCATAAGGACAACAGATGATGCGATTTTCCGCCATTTTATGTGCATCCATACGTTCGCACACACGACACGGAGTGATAGGAATGCGTATTTCCATCGATGCTATGAGATAAATCCCCCCAAAAAACGCGAGCTTGATTCGCCCCCGCGAGCTTAGCCGATGAAAAGCGCCTTTTCGCCAACAGCGGCATCTATGTCGCCACAGCACAGGAAAAGCGTCGGCCGAAGCTCCCTTTGCGGCGCTATCGGGATCTTTGCTGCATGGCTGCCTTTCATTCATGGCGCGGCCATCAGGCTCCTCCCTGCTCAACAGAGCACTTTCCTTGTTCCCTCGTGTGGCCGGCACGTCTTTGCTGCGCGCAGGAGAAAATGGTCGGCGGCGAAGAGATTTGCTGAGCGAGATGTGTATGAGGGCGGCACTGACGTCAAGGCAAAACAGTGGCGCATGCTTCTCCGGAGGTCTTTCAAGTCACTTTGGTACGCACAGGCAGGCATCTGTAGCGGTCAATATGTGTGTGGCTGCAGGTCGCTGGTTCGGCGAGGGAGGCGGGTTGGCCACTTATCCCCTCTGGCGCAGCTGATAGAAGCCGATGAGCCATCCACTCTCATCCCTCTCCCCTCGGCCCCTGCTGCAGCAAACAGCACGGCCGCCCTCCTTGTCAATCGGGACAGGTACACGGCAGTGAGAAGATGCTCGGCCTCAACTCACTGCTGGGCTGTGTGTTTTGTGTGTGCAGTGGCGTCTATTTATCGCCTGTGAATGGTCACGTCGAGGGCTACGTGCCCTTCGGTGGCGTTGTTGAGGCGGCAGGGCGATATCAGGTGGTGCCGCGCGTCAAGGGTCAGACCCAGTGGGCCCTCACGCTGCCCCTCCATATCACAGACCGACACAACCAGACCGCCCGTAAGCCGCAAGCAGTATGATTGTGTTAACAACGGCCCACAAAGCTGTTTGTGTGTTTGCAGTGACGACCATCGAGGACTGTCTGAATATCGTGCGGAGCATCTCGGTGGCCGACCTGCAGATGCCCCCCAGCGGTGACGGCGCAGAGGAGGCGCCGGCGAGTCTGTCTGACCTGTTGGCCGACAGCATATACGTCACGCAGGAGGGGGAGCTGAGGGGCTACGTCACGATGGGAGACCTCCTCATGGCCTCGCCCCACACACCTCTCAAGACCGTCCTCAAACCTACAGAGGTCGTCAGGTAAATAGTGGAAACACATGCCGACTCAGACGCGGAAACACGTGTCACAGGGGCTCTCTGTCCTGTCTTGCTTGGTCAGGATAAGTGAGAATTTAGAAGAGGCCTCGAAACGGCTTCGTCAGCGCTTTGTGACGATGGCGCCTCTGGTGGATGAGAAGGGTCAGCTGGTGGGCATCCTTTCGCCCAACGACCTGCTCAACGAAATGGAGGCCGAACTCACAGAAGACCTCCTCAGGTGCGCAGGCACTAGTCTGTGTGTGGCCTCCCTGTGTCCGTCGCATGCACCGTCTCGTCCTTCACCTGGCGTCAATCTGTGTAGGTTTGAGGGTATCTTCCCGAGCGAGACCATGGAGAAGGTGGGTGATTCTTACTTCGCCACCCCCGTGATTGAGCACATCAAGAGCCGCGCTGGCTGGGTCGTCAGCCTGCTCTTCCTCCAATCGCTGTCATCTATCGTCCTCACCAAATTCCAGGCAAGCGGACAGACACGACAAGGATGGCCTCCCTCTGTTTTGACCTTATTGGGCCTTTGCTCACGAGGTTGTGTGTGCAGGGTGTGATCGAGCGCAACCTCGTGATCGCTCTCTTTCTGACGATGCTGACGGGGACTGCCGGCAACGCGGGCAACCAGTCCTCAGCCACCGTCATCAGGGGCCTGGCCACCGGGGAGATCACTCACGCCAACGCATGGAAAGTGGTGTTGCGGGAGCTGAGAATAGCCAGCGTCATGGCTGTTTTGCTGGCCGGTGCGGCCTTCATGCGAGTGGCCCTCACGCCCGGATCGACCGTAGCGTCTGCAGTTGTGGTTGGCCTGGCCATGGGGGCGACTTGTCTGGTGGCGATTATTCTGGGCACCCTGTCGCCTATCATATTGGTAATTAAGTGTGAGAGGAATGGTCAACTGTGTCTGTATCGCTATATGCTAGTGTCGTGTGCGGGTGTGTGTTCAGGAGTGGATAGGGCTTGACCCATGCAACTGTGCGAGTCCAGCGTTGGCTACCGCGACGGATGTGGCCGGTGTGCTGATACTGTGTACCATTGCCTCAGTGCTGCTGGGGGGAGGGGAGGCAGCGGGATAGTCAGCGGGCCGGGCCGGTCGCTGCCTGCCTGATGTGTGGATGGGATGGTCGATGGTCGGTGCTGCTTAACGCTCCGAAATGTCACAGATACACACTAACTGCCCGAGAGACGGGGAGCCATGTATAGTCGAGAGAAAGGGCTTTTCCTGTGTGTGTGCGTGTGTGTGTGTGGTCTTCTTGCTGCCCATGTGAACTGTCCATAGAGAGAGATTCATCTCCGCAAGCAATCCTCCTCCATTTTCATTCATTTAAACACCGTCCGTCCATTCCTTCACGGCACGGCACGCATCGCAACCAACCCACGTGTCCCACAAACACGTTGACCATTCCATTCCATTCAATTATTCAGTCAATCGGTCAGCCACTCAGTCAGTCAGCCCATCCTCGTCGGCAAAGTCTTGCGACTCACCCCCACCACCTGCACCCGCAAGGGCATCCCCCCCTGCACGCCGTGGGGCGGCACAGCCATCACAGGAGGCTGCCACGCCGCTACAAGTGGGTATGCATACGCTACTGGACCCACAAGACCAGCCCCAGCAACTCGGTAAGGGCCGGTCGCCATCCGCTGAACCGTGTGCCCCCCCGAGGCCACCCGATGGACAGGATCGCGGACAGGGGGAATGGGGGGGACCGTCCCAACGACTGCTGGTGGTGTGTATGGGTTGGGGTGTGGCGGATTGGCGGGTGAGAGCAGGGAGGGAGTCGACTTGCCGCCAGTGAGGGATATTAGACGCGTGGTAGTGGTGCTCGTGGTGGGCTGCGGCTCTTCCGGATGCTTCTTAGGTCTCGAGACCACCCCTCCCCCAAACACAAATGGCGGCCCCTCGCGGTCCGCTGCACGCACCGGAGCGCCATTGCCGTCGCGTTGGGCGTCGCCAGTGACACCATTCGCAATGAGCGAGGGGTTGGGCAGTGGCGGCTTGACGAGCGACGCCTTGGCAGCGGGGGGCCTGACCGTGACGTCCTCCCGGTCTTGGATGTCTCGTGGCATCGGAGAGGCCTCCAGCATCTCCCACTGCATGTGGAAGGGGAAGATCTTGGCCAGCGGGGGCGTCCTTGGTGGCGAGTATGTCAGCCGACGTCCATCCCCAACTTTGCCCGACTCACTCTTGTCCTTCTGCTCCTGGATGACCTGCTGCTGTTGTTGCGGGTGATGGAGGTGGTCTTGTGCCGGCAGGCTGATGAGCTGCCCGAGCGATGAGTCCCACACCAGCCGCCCCTCCCCCTCCCCCACCAGGATGCCCGTCGGCCCCGTCTTGACCTCACCCCCCACCTCCTTCTGCAGCAGACCCGCCTTGATTGTCTCCAAAGACAGCATCCCATGCGGCGGACCAGGCTCGATAAGCGGGGCCTTGGCTTTGGCTTTCTTCTCTTCTTCGCTCGGGGCGGCGGGGGGCGACTTCGACTGCACCACCTTCTTGTTCGCGCGCCGCTCCTTCGCAGCAGGCTGTCTCACAGCCGGGGATCGGTCCCGAGCCACCCCAGATGGCACCGTCATCCGCCCGGTGGACTTGGCGCGTGGGGGAGGCACAGGCCTGGCCAGCCCTGCCTTGAACGCGGGACCGGGCACCTTGACCGCCGTTGCTGCCGATGCCTCCTCTCGCACAGATGGCTGCTGCCGCTTCCTCTGGCCAACACCGGCACTCTTTGGTCTCTCTGGTTTGGGGAACACGGGCACCTTGGGCTTGGGCTCAGTGAGGGCTGGGAAGTGCGGTGGCTGGAGGGCCTGGAAGGGGTTGACACGCGAACGCCGCTTGTACGGGGTGGACGAACGAGACGGATTGGCAGACGAACGGCGAGAAGGGCTGGACGGGGGCGTTGCTGGGGACTCCTTGTGCGTGGTGCTTTCCTTGGGTGGAGGGGCTATGGTCTGCTTCTTCTTCCGTGGCGGTGTAGCCTTACGGTCGGTCTCTCGCTTGGACGACGGGCCAGTGGTGGACTCGCTAACCGCACTGCCGTGAGGAATCGGCTCCGGCCGCTTCTGCTCCTCTTTGCCCTTCGGCGCTTCTGTGTCTCCCGCCTCTCGTTCTTTCTTCTGTATGCCCACAGCCGTCCTCTTGCCCGCCACTTTGGCGATAGTGCCCGCCCGCTGCTGCTGCTGCTGCTGCTGCTGTGCCCGCTGGTGGAGCTTCTGCTGCATGAGGGTCGAGCGGAGACCCGACGAGCGCAGCACACCGCCTCCCCCACCCTTGTCCACACCCCCATCCCCGCCGCCTTTGTCGACACCGGTCTTCTCACTGGCCGCCTTGCCCATCTTCTGTCTCAACGCCGCGAAAGACATGCGACCCTTCTGCACCGAGAGGGGCACCATCCTGCCGCCACCGCCACCTGCTGCTGCCGCTGCTGTCTTGCGGTCGTCTTGCAGCTGCGGCATCATGGGCTGGGCGAGGGGCGAGCCGAGGATCTGCGAGTCGACTGGACCGATGTACTCCTCCGCTTCCGCGTCCCCGACGCCCGTGAGCAGCAGGCAGCCATCGGGGGCCTCGTGCATCAGCTGTTGCTGGTTGTGGCTGAGTCCAATGGTCTCAAATGCGACATGGTATGATGACGGCAGCTGCTGTGGGGGAGGGGGCATGCGGGCGGGGAGGGGGAACGTGGGCGGGGGAGGGGCCAGCAGGTGCTGCTGCTGGTGCTGCTGGATGTTCATGTACTGTAGGTTCTGGTGGTGTATGTCCTGGTAGAAGTGCTGTCGCTGCGCCATGCGCTCCTGCTTGAGCCGCTCCTGCAACGCCATCAGCTGCTCCACATGACTGCTGCCGTTGCCACCCTGCTGCGGCCGCTGCTGGTGCTGCCCCTCGAGTGTGCCGCCGTTGGTGTAGCGGTAGGTCTTGAAGGGGCTGGAGTGGGAGCTCATTGTCAGGGGGTCTTGGGCACGTGGCGACTTGTCCTTGACGCCGCCCCGCAGCACCATCACCTCCTCGTCCATCTGCGGCGGGTACGCTACTGGAGGGCTCACGCGGACAGGCCCTCCCTTGGCAGCACTCGTGGCGTAGAAACCCTCTCTAGGCATGAACGCCGACCCCTCTCCCTCTCCGATATCCCCCTCTCGCCACAGATCGTCACGCAAATCCTCCTTGCTCGGCCTCTCAGCTGGGCGCCGCCCTTTATCGTTCCCCCCTCCCACCCCTCTCCCACCGCCATGCCGCACCCCCCTGCCAATCCCCTTGGCCGCGTCCCAGAGGTTGCCGTCCAATGCAAGCGGCGTGCTCGAGGCCGACGACTCCACCACCTGGTTGCCGTCACACTCGCTCTCCCGTCGCGTGATGTCGTCTTGCCGGAGGGGCCCGGGCGGCGGCTGGGCCGTGACGTCGAAGCCCATCTCAATGGCTGCGTCGGCGAGTGTCTTGGGTGGGGGCTCGTAAATGGTCTGTGGTTGTTGGTGTGGGTGGCAGGTCATGTCGGCGCTGCGGACGGGGGTGTAGTGCGGGGCGGACGTGCGGAGCCGACACAGGTCACGCCTGAACGAACAAACGAAGAAGCAGAGAAGATACATGCATGCATTTGCGCTCCTAGGTTGGGCGACTTATCGTAACTTACTTACCGAAGCCACTGGTTCATGACGCCCTTGGTCTTGGCTTTGGTTTTCTTGCCCTCTCCCTTGCCCGACCGCTGGCTGTCGGTCGACGCTTCGGAACGCTCCTCCCAACGAGACACCTGACACACATATACACATATGTGCACGCACGTGGTCATGTGAGGCACTGGTGTGTTTTTTCGGTGCTTTGCGTACCTGCGTGGGGGGCATCCCCATGGGCAGTGCCGCTGCTACCATGCTATGTCCTCGGCTCATGTGTGCCGGTGGCGGTAGGGAGCCGCCCATCGGCACCACCTTGGCCCCCTCACTCACACGGCCGCCATGCTTGCCTGAATGACGGGAAGGGCTGTGCGCATGATTTGTACGTTTCTTTCTCTCAACACCTTGCTTTGCCTTGGTGTTGGTGTTTTTGTCCTTGCGGCCTTTGGCAGCGGCCTGCTGCTGCATGAACTGATGGCGGGTCCGAACTTCCAACTCATAGTCAACCAACGCTACACCTGCCACAGTACAACAAGACGACACACAACACCTGTGCGAAGCAAAAGTTGGGGTTCCCATCGTGTCTCGCCCACTCACCCTTGTTATGCAGTAGGAGGTCCATGTCGCTCTCCGTCAGTGGCTGGCGTGTGACGGCCTCGGGGCCCCGCAACGACACCACGTGGCCACGGAGCCACTCGCCAGATACATCACCAACAGACGCCAGAGACCCTTCCTGAGACACACACCCACACCCACACATACACACCGATACAGGGAATGTGAGGGGGTAGAAAGCGGCTTGTTTTGCGTACCATTGGTTCCTCAAATGGCCACAGTGCCGGCTCGCATCGCCCGACGGCCGGCCACGTCGGTACACTGCCAAACGGAATCATGAACTCACCTCCAGCACACCGCTGCGCACACACGTGTTGACGTCTCATCCATCCATCCATCCATCGACCCATTCATCCAGTCGTGCTGCTTACGAAGAATAGAATGAATCCCTCTGTGGGGTGTTGTGTGAAGCCGATGTCTCGCGAGAGCAGCACTGTGCGGGCGGGTGTGGGCTCGGGGGGCGAGGCGACGGTCAGTGTGGGGTCGAAGGGGTTGCCGTGGGGCTCGTCACACCACTCGGCCAACACCTCACCATGCGGACCCTGCAAGTATCCCGACCCCTGCATACACACAACACAACAACATGGCGGCAGGGCAGGCAAGCCAGAAAGACTGGATAAGGAGAGGGCGGCGTTTCTGGTCTGTGTGTGTTGCTTTGCTTGCCTTGAAGAACTGTTTGTGTTTGTTGTGTATGGGTTTGTGGTGAAATGCGATTGGGTTGCCCACCACGTTATGCCACGCGCGAAATACACCAGGAGAGTCGAACCACTCCAACGCCATCTGAACCACAATGAAACGGAAAACAGCAAACAAACAAGATCCGACTTTCCTTCCATCTCCCCTCCCATGTGTCTGCACTGCACAGAGCCCTCTCACCGTCTGATCTTCGTAGGCAGTGAACAGGCGACATCCCTCGACGGGCCCATCCGGCGCAGACGGTCTGCCGCCCCCGCTGCCGCTCAGGTCACCATACAGCGATGGATAGAGGGCGGCACTCGTGAAGGAGCGCACCACCTCATACCTGCACCGCAACGAAAACAACGTGAACACATTCGCATCTGTCTGTTCTGCCATGCATGCTGTGGGTCGGGTCGTTTTCTCTCTGCAGACCTGACAGCGATGGCCCCCGACTCGTATTTGAGCGTGAGAGAGGTGCCGTCAGCCGCCAGCACCATCAGCGGCTGCAGCGACAGGTCGGCCAGCGAAGGGGAAGAGGTGGGACTACCGGCCCATCGGTGAGCTACGCCTTCTCGGGGAGGGTAGAAGGATACAAACACGTCGGAAGGGGCTGGATCAGCCATCTAGGGACTCCCTCCTCTGGCACTCCGTTTACGTTATGCATCTAGGTTAAGTTGCGTTTTACGGAGTTTGAAGGAAGGGTTCGTTCCCCATCATTCCGCGTAGCGCTCGCGCGCCATTTTAGCGAGGAGAGGAAGAGATACCTTCGTCCGCAACAACTGCCTTTTCGAGAGAAGGAGGAGAGTGCCACTGTGCCACGCGTCAGGACAAGACAGGTATTGTCAAGATGATGCAGCCGGCCGCCGCTCCCGATGTGGCGATGGGGACTCCAGTGACGGTGATGGGGCTGGAGATTGGCCATATACCAGATCCTGAGATAGCGAAGCTGACGAGGAAGGTGATGCACATATCGGTGGTGCTCGCGCTGTTTGCCCTCCTCAACATGATTGCAGCGCTGGTCGGAGATCCCTCGAAAGGAGGTGAGCACCGCAACATGGAGAGAAACGGGTACCTTGATCTCTCATGTCCTTGTTGTGTCGTGCTGTGCTGGTGTGTGGCAGCGATAGCTGTTGTCGCGTTTTGTATAGCGATATCGATTCCGGCGTGCGGCTATATCGGTGAGGCAGGCAGCTAGGCAGGCAGGCATGTCCATCCTTCACTTCACCCAGCCCTTGTTGATCGTGTATGGTATGTGTTTGCCCGTCCCGTCCGTATCTGTCAGGTGCGCGAAAGAACAGCGCCGGTTTGCTGGGGTTCTTCTGCGGTTGTGCGTGCTTCCAAGCCGTGCTGACGCTCATATCCATCATCCTCTTAATATGGACCCTGGTGCTCTACCAACGAATCGAGGAGGAGTGGTAAGTGAGTGCCCTCATCACGCCCCTCCTGACCTACACTTCATCTGTCTGCATCGCGTCCCGTTCTCCCCTGTTCTGTGTGTGTGTGTGTGTGTGTCTGTGTGTGTGTGTGCAGCAAGACGGAGGAGACAGTGTGTAAGGACCCCGAGACCAACGAGGAGCTGACCGAGAAAGAAGTGGAGAAAATAGTCAGCCGACTCACCACCATTTTCATAGTAAACATCATTATCGCCATCGGCATTTTCATCGTCAACTTTCTCGGTAGGCAGGCCAACAACATGGACACACACACACACACACACGCCCATTGTCCGGTCCATCCGTCTGTCTGTCGTCCCTGATGTCCGTTCTGCAGCCTTCACATGGGGCAACGCCCTGTTTCAGCGGCTGAGGGCCGGTCAGATAATCGTCGCGTCGCCAGCCTTCCCCCCCACATACACCACCAACCCCCAGTACGGCGGCGGCACCCAACCAGTCGTCATGGGCCAGCCTGTGAGCCACGACCAGGGCCAGACGTACCAGCCACCACAGCCCAGCACATTCGGCACATACGCTGAGCCGGCCGCCCCTTCCCCATATGGCGGCTATGGGGGCGGCACCACCAATGGGGGCGGCTATGGGGGGGCGGCGGCTGCCGCAGGCTATCGTCCGCCGCCCACGTACATCGAAATGCAGGCTGACCCGGGGAAGAGATGATACACACACATCCATCCCATCCGACACAGGCGGCCAGTCAGTGTACAGTCAGTCAAGCCGGTGGGTGGGTGGGTGCCACAGTGAGTGAGTGAGTGATTAGTCTTTCCCTCTGCCTGCTGCCTGGCCTTCCTTCCTCGCTCTTCCCCTTTTTCCCCTCTTTGTGTCAAGTGGTTATTGTTTGGCTGGTGGCGGCGGGTGGGTGATCGGGGTGGGCAAAGGCGACGAGTCGGTATGTTTATATATACAGGGAGGGCGGGGGGCTTTCAGCCGACTCCTCCGCATGCACATGGATGGATGGATGGGTGGATGGATGGATGGATGACCGTGATTATTTGTTGTAGAAGCGATCCCCTTTGATCGATAGGTACGTAGACCTCTCATTCTCCAGTGCGTGAGTGAGTGAGTGAGCGAGCGAATCTGACTGACATGACACGACTCTCTGCGTGCAATTAAAGCTCTGCATATGTCCACGACGGTGTGCATCAAATGTTTCTGCACTCAGTCACTGTATACTAGTACACACGCGCCGCATCTCGCGATTCGGCGCACACAAACGCAGCCCCCGTCCCTACTAGCTACTATCAGAGGCACCTGACCCTCCCCCTCCCCCTCCCTCGTCATTAGAACTGCCCACTACGTGGCTCAGCTCCGCGGCTTCCCTCTCCCCGCCCGTTTGCGTCTTGCTGTTGGGCGACTTTCGCCGGGACACAGGCCGGTACAGCAGCTCATGGCGACTGCACCACAGACGCACATTGATAGATACAGCACATTGATAGACACATTGGGGAGAGAGAAGAGGCGATGGATAGATTACTTATGCGCATGGGTGGATTGGATTGCCTACCTGCCGTCGTAGTACAGCATGAAGGGCTCAAGCGACTGATTGAGACTCTTCAGATACCTACACACCACACACAGACAGAGAGAGAGATGGGCACAGCTCTCTCGGTCATCCATCACTGGTCAAGTGTCGTCGTTTCCCTCCCTGCCGCACTTATACCTGTCCCTTTCGCGGAACTTTTCTCTGCCTTGCGGTGTGCAATATATGCCCCAGGTGATGATGGCCAGAAGGCTCAGGGGCGCGACGAACCAGCCACTCATCCATCCACTCTCCGTCAGCACCACCTCACGAACCTAACACGTACACAGGCAGACACCAGGTGGTTGCTTGTCCAGCCAGACAGATGGGCATTGCAGACAACGCGGCCTTCCCTCCTCTCTATCTATGTGCAGGCCTCACCTGTGACGGCAAGAGGAGAGCGGACAGCGTGGCCAGGAGCAGTAGCACGTCGAGGACGACGACACACCGAGCAAAGGCTGCATACCCACACCCACAAGTCAACCGTGTAGACAGTGCATTCATTCCGTTTCAATGCATTGGGAACCTACCTATGTAGTCGTCCTCTGCCTTCCTCAGCCTCCTCAGCATGTCACGAATGCCCGTACCCATCCGATGCAGATCTGCCCACACACAGCAAGCAGCAAACACAGCACATTGGCATGCAGAGCGCCCCTGTGCAGGCTGAATGAGCCCTTGCTGCTGCCATCTCCTGTCACCTTCGTATTGCTTCTGTCCGAATGGCATCTTTTGGACGGGATGGCAAGGCAGATGCACCAGAAGCGGCGCCGAAGACGACGAACGTGAGTCGGACCGGCTTGCTGACGGCTCCTCTGCTGCTTGGGAACACATATCAAGCTGCAGTTGCCTTCTCCTCTCCTTCCATCGACTGCGAGCCTCAAGCTAAAGCTCGCAGGTGTGTGCGGGAGTTGTGAGCATTTCGACAGCTGCATAGGTGAGGATGTTGCAAGGCGAAGGCACCATCCTTGTTTGTGTCGATTGAAGTCTCCTTCATGCCACTGACTGGTTTGCAGATCTCGTTTGTGTGTGCCGCCGACGGCCGTCCGTCGTGCTGGCCTCGCCACTCCAGGCCATTACTGGCTGACAGCGGGTAAGCGAAAGACCAGCGGACACATGTCGCGCGTTCATCTTTCGATGCGTGCGTTTCCGAATGCGTGCATGTCTGTGTCTGCAGGCAGGCGTTGATTTGGTTTTTAAGCTGTCCCACCGCGCCGCACTTGCTGCACAAGGAAGGGCTGCCGATTCATCGCCAGCATGTAAGGAAGCGAGAAAGGCAGACACACCCACACGGTGTGCTGTGGCATCGGGTGCATGGCTCTGTGTGTGTGTGTGATGCAGACCAGTCACCGACCGATGGCGTCCCAGCCTCACTGTGACCATCCCCCCACTCAGCAGCCCACCCCTCAGCAGCCCCCGGGACCTCCCCCCATCGGCTTTCTGGAGGCAGCCACCATCAAGAAGGCCGCCCACACGGCCATGTCGGTTGATGAGTCGAAGCGAGCGACACTGACGGCACAGATCAGCCAGCTTTATTGGCCTGAAGTGAACAAGATGCTCGAGCGCTTCCAGCAGCACATAGAGGAGGAGCTGGTCCGTCTCGGCCTGCGGGGTGTCCTGTCCTTCACCGTCAGTGACCTGGACAGTGCCTTCAAGGTGGTCTACTTGCTGGAGCAGAGCTGGGAGGAGGTGGCTGAGGTGCTGCAGTGGGCCAGCCAGTGCGACTGCTGCACGCTGCCTCTCAGCCTCACGGCAGACGACATCAACACACACTGGAGCGAGACGGTAAGGCACACACACAGAGGGGGGGCGAAGAGAAGGCAGAGAGGCCTCATCCTCTCTCTCTTGCTCTGTGTGTGTGTGTGTGTGTCGTGTAGGTGTACATGGCGCTTCCCCGTGTGTTGGCGCAGCTCATGGTGGTCGGCCGCCATGTGCGGTTCAGGGACGGCAGCTGCCTGCGTTTCTTGCGCCGTGCCAACGGTGAGGTGCGGGGGCCCATCGAGCCCGGCTTCCGGCTGGTCTTCAACCCGCCCCTCGCTGCCGGCCATCTGTATCAGCAGCACCGACTAGAGCATGACCCGCCAGTGCGTAGCCGCAACATCTACTACAACGGCCGCACATGGGTGTCGCACGCTATCCCGTCCACCGATGCGTCGGTGTCGTCGGTGTCGTCGGTGTCGTCGTTCGTCAAGAACATGATCCTCGACCACTATCGCCATGTGCGATATCACCGGACCAATCGCACATCGATAGTCCTCAACAGGTACCACACCAATGGCACCAGTGGGCGAGAGGTGTGCGTGTGTGATTGTGTGTGTGTGTGTGTGGTTGATTCAGGCGGGTTGCTGGCGGCCGTCTGAATGGCCTCCTCACCCAGTCGCCCCACACATCGGTGGCCGGATGCACCACCACATTCAGCAACAGTGGTGCGCGGGTGCGTTATCTGGTGCTCACCGACAGCAGCCACGACTTCGTCGCGTGGATTCGTCTTGAGGTTCTTCCAACCATCAACGACGGTCAGGCCGACAGACAGGCAGCTCTGCTGGTCAAATGTCATCAGTCTCTTCTGTCTGACTGTTTGCAGTGAGGGTTAGTGTCGTGACGACCGAGGCACGTGTGTGTGCGAGCGGTGCCTTCAAGGACCGCTTCCGCCAGACGACTCAGCTGGGCAGTGAGGCGCTGGGGCGAGGACTTGAAGTCGTCTTCGACGGCCAAGTAGTTCAAGACGAGCTCCCATCAGAGTGGTCGGTGGATGACAGCGACGATGGTACGCACAGGGGCAGGGACGCACATTGGTGGATGGAGGGAGGGACACACACACGAGAATGGATGGATGGATGTGCCCTCTCTGTCTCTGTGGTGTAGATGAGGACGGCGGTGGCGAGAGTGAGGCTGAGGGTGACGACGATGACGGTGGGGAGAGCAATGCACACACACACATGGATGGATGGATGGATGGATGGATGGGTAGTGCAGATGGATATTTTGATGGTGGCGATGACGATGACGACGATGATATGCATTCCAACGACGGACAAGAGGCCAGCGGAGGTAAGAAACACATCGCAGCACAGATCCCCTGGCTCCTGTCGATCTGCATCACTCGTCTGTCTGTCTGTCTGTCTAATTGGGTGTCTGTGTGTGTGCGTTGATCAGGTAGCGACGAGTACTCGGAGTTGCTGGGCCGAGAGGGTGGCGGGCAGATCGCAGGCAAGCAGAAAGAGGGGCGGCACAAGGATGAGCAATGAATGGATCAGTGTGGACGGATGTGTGTAGGTCCTGCTGCAGGTGTGGCGATGGCTTCCCACTCGCAACACAGTGGTACACACAAAGACGCCACACAAGGGCACTAGAACAGTCCTTTCTCTCCTCGTCCAACACTGCAGGCGGCGATTTGGTGGACGTAGACAGCGGTGACGGCCCGGCTGCCCCTGCAGGTCACCACAACACCACCACCCCACAGATGCGCCTAATGGACAGCTTTCACGTGTCATGCCTGTGTCCTGATTGTGTGGTGCAGATGGGCTGGGCGGCGGCGGCGGCTCTTCCAGTGACCTTCTGCAGACAATACGTTCGACGCGTTCGGTAAGAAGGGGAGACAAGAGGGGTCTACAGATGACGTCCATGCAGCAAGGAGTGGTGTGAGTGTGTTGGTATTGGCTTGCAGGTTGCCTCTCAGTTTGCGTCTGACCTTGAGGAGGCAGAGAATATCATAGCCACACACACCGACAACACACCGGTCCGCAGAAGACGCCACACAGCCGAGCTGCGGAACTCACTTATTGCTCGTCTTTCTGCAGGATGGTGCGTCGCTGGCAGGCAGACTGACGGCCCTTCTGGGCGATCTCACCGGTGTCCGCTCGGCCGTCAACAACCAGCTGGCGGGGATTACTGACCACCACACCACACAGGTAAGTAAGGTGGCAACGCCATATCAATGACACACACACTCAGGTGGACCATTTTGTATGTTCAGGTGTCTGTTGTCGTGTCGCCATCGCATGCTGCTACTGGTGCTGGTGCTGCTGGTGGTGGTGGTGCTGGTGCTGGTGGTGGTAGCACTCGATGCCACTGTGCCGAGAAGCGGAAGGCGGCCGCACTATCGGCATCGAGTGGCGACGACGGCGGGGAGGGCGACACGGCGGCCGACGGTAGACGGGAGCAGAGGCCGCGTGGCGAGCAGACGGCCAAGGGCGCAGGGGGCAGCAGCATGATGGGGGAGCAATAGCTGATATCACATACTCACTGACTGACTGTCAATAAGGGGAGGGAGGAAGGGGTTGACTGACTGACCGAGCGAGTGGATCCGGATGGATGGATGAGTAGACAGACAGCTGACAGAGAAGCAGACGGAAGGGAGGGAGTGGCTGTGGTCTGGACGTGTCTGTGAGATGCATTGGCTCTCTCTCTCTCTCTCTCTCTCTTCGGATGAATGGCTGGATCGGTCGCTCTCGCTCCTCTGTGTGTGTTGTCTGGTTGGGTTGTTGTGTACGTCGGCCGGCTGGCGTATGGAATGTAATGGAATGGATACCGTGTTATGTGAATGATGTGGCCATGTCTCCGTGTCTTCATGTCTGCATGCCCCCTCCCCTCTTCTAATTCGCCATCCTGTCCGTCAAAGTCTGCCTGCTGTGAGATGTGTGTGTGTGTGTGTGTGTGCCTGTGTGTGTGTATGCCTGTGGGGGTCTGGCTGACGGTCTGCTACGGCCAGGCGGCAGACTGCCTTTTCTGAGTGGTGAGGATCGGCTTACTGTCATGGGTGTGTGTGCGTGTGTTGTGTGGATGTGTGTGGGCATCGGACTGATTGCGTAGGAGTGTGATTACTGACGCATGCACACATGGACACACGGAATCTGCTGTCAAGGAAATGCACGCGAGTCACTGACAACATCACATCAATCAGCACCACATGATTGACTGCATCGACCACCGGAGCTGGGCGGTCTGTCGCATCCCTCTTCCAGAATGGTCACGTCACTCTGCCCCCCTGGTTGACCTGTCTGATGCTCAGATTGATACGTGTCTTGGCCAGCAGGTCCATCAGCCCCACACGCTCATCACCACTCAAACCCTCCAACGACCCCACTGCAGTCGATTCCTGCCACCTCCTGCCAGCACCGGCACCGGCCGCTGTTGGCGGGGCTGGCTCCCCTCCGTCTTGCTCGCCATGTTCCGTCTTGGCACCAGGTTGTGGATCCATAATGGCCGCTATGCCTGAAGGAACATAACCGAGCATACTTCTTGGCAAGGGTGTGTGTGCCGTCCCGCCACCCTGCCTGCGTACCGTGGAGAGACTTCCGGGCTGTGCTGGCCAGCAGCAGTACGTCGCCTCCGCGAAGCACCACGGGCTGGGGAGACAGCCTGAATAGCGCAGCGCACACACATATGGGTGTCGCTCTGTTCTGACTGCCTCCTCCCTCCCTCCCTCCCTCCCTCCCTCAGCAGCCCGGCCAGCTCACTCACTGTCTTGTGTCGCCACCAACGAGAAACAGGCCAGGCAAACCCAAACTGCGAACAAGGAGGCAGGGGACGGGACACGTGCGTAGACACTATGAGTAATTATGAGGTTGCGCACCTACCTAATGGACACGAGCGGCGAAGTGGCGTCGGTCTCGGCATCATCCTGGTGCCCTGCATCGCACACGCGCACCGCATATATGTTTCCGCATCGATCGATCGACCGGTCACCAACTGCCTGCCTGCCAGGGCGTGCTTCCCCACCTCTCAGTCGGTCGGTCCGCCGGTAGAGATTCACTATGGCCGCCTACACGACATGATTCATAAGATAGCTGTGTGGACAGACTGTGCATTCGTTTGACCGTCGGGTGAGGTGACGCTCTCTGGTCCTTTGTCCCAGAGACCCAATAGATCTGATCTGACCTGCGGTGTGTAGTCGCCGGTCAGGTGCAGCTCTTGAGCCAGCAGCTGACACTGACGCGATAGCTCTGTCATGATCTCCCGACAGAGACACGTGAGCCCATATGTGAAGGGCAGGCGGTCGTCGTATTGGCGGGTAGTCCAGCTGATGGACGGACGGGCAAAGGAACGAATGGGATGGAGAGTGCATCATGATGATGGGAGGGCATAGACGGGGAGGGAGGGAGGTGCCGCATCGTAGACACACACTTGTATTGGTAGCCCTAAGACAGAGACAGACAGACACCATTCAATCACCTATCATATCCCTTTGCAATATAGTCCTCAGATGGGTTTGTTTCCGTTCCTCTGACCAACCAGCGTGGCCCATCGCAGCCTGGTGAAGATTGCCTCATTTGACGCTGAAAGCCGAACAGACAGCAGCACATCCGCAGAGCAGACCTCTATCTACTGAGAGTGTGCGTATGTACGCCAGAATTCCCGTGCCGCCTCCTCGAAGCCAGTGAGATTGGTCCTGTGTGGGGGCTGTACACAAACAGCAATCAAACAGACGGATGCCTGTCAGCTGCTTTATAAATCAGTCACTGGCTGCTTGTGTGCTGGCTTGGTTGCTCGCCTCAATGTAGGATGTGACGCACTCGTGGGCCAGAAGAAGCTGCTCATCCTCACTCAGCCAGGCCGGAGAAACACACAACCTGCACAGTCAATCAGTGAATACACACACCAAAACGATTGATTGATTCATCACCCTTTGTCCCAGATCTCATCCATCTCTCCTTTGTCCCTGCCCTGCGTCCCCTCTCGTGTTTCCAACCTGGAAGCGTCTTCAGTCGGTATGCCTCCCGTCGTTGCCTTTCTGCCATTCCAGGCGGCACCTCTGCCCTCAAGTCAACTAACTCATCCATGCTGCCAATCTCGCCCTGCGCATCCACAATTGAGGGCCTCCACTCTCTCACACAGCTGCATTCCTGACCAAGGACGGCCTCGCGAAGGGACACCTCAGCTTGTTTGTACAGATCAACCATCGCATGTTTCGCTCCTGGACATTGGCTCGCGTCACTCCGGTCGCGAGCTGAAGCTTGCAGGTGACGAAGTATTGAATGATGCAGAACAGCGAAAGGAGGCTGTCAGGGAAGCGGCGATGGTGGCGTGTAGTCGCAGCGGTGGTGCCCGCCGCAACGTCATGGGCACTCCGACACTCAGGTGAGTAGATCTGCACACACAACTCACAGATCCATCCACACAGGATGAGTGCATCAAGCGGACAATGAACACATGGCCCTGTGACTGTGTTTTGCTCGGCAGATCCTCGTGCTTCGCACAGCCCGCTCTCAGCACACAGCACGTTCATCCCCGCTCCCCCTCGCTGTGTCTGTCAGCGCCTCACTCGCCGCATTCCTCCCCGATCATCCCTTCGCAGCAGCGCAGTCAGCGAGCCGCCCAGTGCCGTCATCGACATGATGGACAGAAAGGTCACAGGGAGTGTGGATGAGGAGCGGGCTATCATGGTGGGTCTGGATCCCCTGCTGAACGCGTCACTGGCTGTCGAGGAGGCCCTGGGAGAGGGCAACTACTGGGACAGAAGGTACCAGAGGTGAGCATACTGTTCATCTCCCGACGGAGAGGCCGTCGCGAACTGCCTGTGTGGATGGTTGTTTTGTTCAGTTTGTCGTCTGCGAGTGGAGAGGAGAGCGGCAACCATGAGTGGCTGAGGTCGTGGGAGGACCTACAGGTAAATCACAGCACCTCTCACGCATCATCTTACGTGTGCTGTGCGTCGATACACGGGAGCATCTATGGCTCGTTCTTTCTTCCCCTCTCTGTGTGCTGGGCGACTGCCATGCCAGGGCCTGTTGGTGCGGTACATGTCGAGTGAAGACCGCATTCTTCACGTCGGGTGCGGTCAATCAGGTGAGGAAGGCCCACGCATCCCATCCGTCGATTCGATGGATGCAGCAGCAGCATCAACCAACCCAGTGCATAGCATAGCATATCGTGTGTTGTGCTTCTCTGTGTGTCGTGTCTGGTCTGCGCTCATGATTCACTCATTCAGATATGGGCGTCTGTCTGGCCGGAGAGGGCTTTCGGCGCGTGACCAACATGGACATATCGCCAGCCGCCATAGAGATGCAAAAAGAAAGGCACCCAACGCTCGAGTGTGAGAAGGCACACACACGAAAGTCACGCTGTTCGGCGCGTGTGTGCACGTGCGTATGTGTGTGTTTAGGGGTGGTTGGCGACGGTCTTCGGACGGGGCTTCCGAGCGACCATTTCGATGTCGTCATAGACAAGGGCACGCTGGACGCCATCATGGTCGGTGAAGGGTGAATAAATGCCACAGTCAGATCCCCAGTCAGATCCCCTTAATTAATCCGTCTCTCTCTCTACGTGTGTGTGGTCATTAGTGCCGCGGTGAGGGCAGCGTGACTTGGGGGTGGCAGGGCAGCCAATACGTCGAGGAGATGCACAGAATACTCAAGTGAGCCAGCGACAAGAGAGACCACTACTGGAAGGGAAGCAAGTGGGACGCCCACCGGCCATCTGTGTGAGTCGACAGGCCTGGCGGTCGATACGTGGCGGTAAGCCACGGCAGGCCATCACGCCGCCTGCCCGTCCTCAGACCCTCCAACATCGACCTCGACGCATCTGGCCTCAAGGTGCGGTCGATCTACTCTACAAGTATCTCTCCTGCCTCTGTTTACACGGCGATTGTCTGTGTGTGTGTCTTTGCTACCAGAGGCCCTTTCCCAAGACGCTGGATTGGACGCTCGAGGTCATTCCGCTCAGCGAGGAGGGACCAATGGGAAGGAAAAGTGGACCGTACTCCAACCGTATAACACACACAGACACACATCTGCCACGTATGCCATCTATCGCATTGGCCCATTAGTTGAAGAGTTTGAGGAGAAGATGTCTGCCATCCGCAAGGCGTACGAGGGCACCGACACGCTCAGCATGGAGGACCTCAGCCAGCTGGCGGATGAGGTCAAGAGGATACACGCGGGGCTGGCACTCGAGGCACAGGAACTGTCACCTGATGACCCTGGTCGGCCGGTGGGAGGGGTGGGTCGGGTCAGAATCCAAGTCATGTGTGTGTGCGTGTGTGCGTGCAGAGGGTGCGCGTGAGTTCCAGAAGAATTGGCACGAGGGGCAGCAGGTCATGACAGGCATCATCCAAATGCTCGACGGTAACCAACACACACACATCCACCCACTCTCTGTGTACTCGTCTGTCGGTGTGCATGTGATGTCATGTGTTGTGTGTGTTGTGTGCAGCCCTGCTGCCAGTGCACCAGATGGATTGGCAAGTGCGGCAAGCCGACCACATCCTCTACATGCTCATCAAGAACTAGAGCACCACGCGAAAGGAGCCTGCATGCGCCCATGAGTTGATCGACAGATCTATCGTTAGACGTGTCTGCATGGGTCCACCTGACTCATGGACCAGTCAGGCTTCACATAAAGCCCTCAATGCTCCCCAAAACGCGACAAACAAAGAAGCGCTCCTCGCACGATCGTCAAAACTGAGCTCGCACGTGGTGCGCCGTAACAATCCCAACCTCTTCCCTGCACCCCTGCCTGCGCCTGGCACAAGATCTCGTTTGTCGTTTGTCGTGATCAGCCCCTCGTGGGATCAGCCAAGCAGCCACCCACCACTCATCGACCCCCTGCCGGCTTCTCTCTTCCCCTCCCTCTCCGAGAGGCCCAACCGCACCGTCTGTGGTATTTCTCCCTCCTCACCACCACCCGACCGTTGTGAAGCCTTTCATTTCGCCCTCATCCCGTCAACCCCGCCGGACGCCCTTCGTTCGTGAGAATGGGTACTCAGTACAAGTTTGACGTGCAGATGTTGGATTTCTCTGCCCGCGGGCTGCCCGCCAAAGACCGCAGCGGCACATCGGACCCCTACCTCAAGATCGACTTCGACAACTTCAAACTCTTCAAGGTGGCTGACAGACAGACAGACGCACAAAAAGGCAGGCAGGCAGGCATTGAATGTGTGTCTGGTATGCATGATTGTGTGTGTGTTGTCAGACCGATAAGGAGGTGCGCAACTTGAATCCCCAATGGGGCTTCCAGAAGCGGTTCACATACAGGACCAAATTCCTCGACAAGCTGCAACGGTCGGTCGGTCGGTCTGTGTGTGGGGCTGGGCTGGACGGGGGAAGGACAGACGTCAGACACCCAACACACCTCAGCCGGCACTCTCTCCCTCTCTCTCTCTCTCTCTCTCTCTCTGTTGCCTGTTGGCTGGCTGTGTTTGTAGGAAGCGTCTGAAGATCTCTTGTTACGACCACAACATGGTAGGTGGTGCTGACTTCATCGGGGAGACGTCTGTGGACCTCTTCACGCTGGCCACGGGGCCGCGATACTACACACTCACACTAAAAGACCAACAGAAACCCGCGGTGAGTGGGGTTGCTGATAATTGGGCGACACTGCACGAACAGACACACAGACGGCGTGGGAAGGGAGCGGAGGGGGGGAGAGGAGTGCATGGCATGGCATGGCATGGATGTGTTTGCGTATGTATGTGTATATTCAGGGTACTTTGAAGTTTATTTGTGTGATGAAGATGATGTCGGAGGTGACGGTCAGCACCAACAACCTCTCACTCACACTCAAGGTATGCAGGGCAGGCAAGACAACCGCACCGCCAACCAGCAACACGTGCTAGGCTGACACACGCGAGTGTCCTGCTTGTTGGTCGCATGCACGTCACATGTGTGTATCCGATCCGCTCCGCTTCAGGGTCAGCCGGCTGGTGCGGCCATCCATGTGTTCCCATCGATGGAGGGCACGCTGCAGGCCCAACACCCATACTCACCTGTGCGCACAAGACGACGCAGCACCACAACCAGACGGCTTCTCTTCTCTTCTCTTCGCTCTCTCTTCGTGTGTCAGGATGGCAAGTGGAGCGACCCCAAATCGATGACCTTCGAAACCACACTGGTCAGTGCAGTGGGCACGTCCATCTTCCATGCTGCAGCGTATCCAATCCATGTCTTCTCTATGTGTGTGTGTGGGTCGCTGTCTTAGTGGGACCTGGTGGGGCCTGAGGAGAATGAGCATCTTAGGTTCCAGGTGCTCGACCAGCAGGAACAGCTTCTAGGAGAAGGTCAGGCCGCCCAACACCAGACACACGGATGGATGGATGGATGTGTGTGTGTGTGTGTGTGTGTGTAGCTGTGGTGTCGTTTTGTGAGTACTTCAAGATGGACGGCGCCGTGTCGTTCCAAGGTAGGTGGCCACATGGCCACAAAGCACCTTAACTTACAAGCACTGTAACCCCTGCACATGAGCGGTTGTGTCGGTACAATCAGTGCCCGTCCGCCACAACAACGCTGTCGTTGGAGAGCTCACCGGTAGCCACACAGACCAGCACCAGACCGTCACGTCACTCACAGCTGGACAGCATTCATGAGTTGTGTGTCTGACTGTAACTCTGTGTGTGGCTATGTGTGTCAGGTGAGATCGAGTACAGCAACTGCCCCAAGTACGCCCAGCTGGCGGGCGGCAGCTACCAAGACCACCCTGCACCAACAGTACAGGGCGGCTTCCTGCTACTTGCCGGGATACCATTCCCCAACGTCTGCCAGGGGGTGAGTGCGGTGGTGGGCCGGCAGTTGACAGACAGACGAACAAAACGGCCGGCATGCAGCCAATGAATGAGTGTGTGTATGTGTTGTGGCTTTGACCAGACGCCCCCGACGCTGCCACTGCAGGCTCACCGGATGCCGCTGCAGCAGGCACCCGAGGGGACACATGACCAACAACCCGACGCACAAGACACTGCAGCTGACGTAACCAACATACACATCGAAGCACCAACACGCACACAAGACCAGAAACCTCCTCCCTGAGTCTGCCTGCCTGCCTGTTGTGTGCAGCGTCCCCCTGCGGACAGCGGTGATGTGACTGGTGGCGTTGGCATGGAGGGTATGGTGATGACGCCCAACACGGGGCAGGGGACGATCGGCGACCAGATCCAGCAGCAGCTCACACACAGTGCACCCATGCAGCAGGCACAGCTGCAGGAGATCCAGGCGCAGTGGGACTACATGGAAGAGGTAGGTGCGTGCGGGAGGCAGTGGCCACTGCATTCACTGCAGAGAGAGAAGAGGGGGCAAAATGGTGCGCTTGAGCACGTGTATGTGATGTGTGTGCAGATTGAGTTGCCGCCCAACTGGGAGATGCGGAAGGACCGAAGGACGGGTCAGTCAGCAGGGAGAACTACTGACAGACAATAGTGATTGCATCCGTCTTCACATCACCTGCTGTCAGGTCGGCCCTACTTCGCGGACCATCGATCCAAATGCACCTGCTGGGTAAGACAAGACACAGACCAAGTACTACTCCCGCCGTCAGTCGACTGACACCATGATGCGATGCCTCCCTCATTGATCGCATCTTTGCCTCGCTTCTCCCGCCTGCAGACGGACCCCCGTTTCCTGCCCGAGAACTGGGACCAGAGAATCGACCCCAACTCTGGTGCGTGACGGTGGATGGGTGGATGGGATGGTGGGGCGGTGGGTCAAGAAGCCTTCCATCCATCCATGTGTGATGTGTTTGCTGTGTGTGTGCAGGTCGTGTGTACTACGCGTATCACAAGACCCGCCAGACGACCTTCATCGACCCACGGGGGCTCTCACACGGTCAGTCAGCAGGGCGCGGCGCATCTACAACAGTACCAACAGACAGTTGGTTGATCGGCCACAATGCAATGAATGCATGGATGGGATGGCTGTGTATGTCTGTCTGTCTGTCTGTCAGGGTGGGAGATGCGTCTGAGTCCGCAGGGCGAGGTCTACTTCGCCTACCACCCCACACGAAAGACCACATACGTCGACCCAAGAGGTACGTACGGCGCAACCAAGGACAGCGACAGACAGACAGACAGACAGACCGAGTGTGTGGTGTGGACGGGGCAAAAGTCAGTCAAGTCTCTGTGTGCTGTGTGGTAATGCAATTGTATTTTAGGTTTGCCTCCGTTGATGTCTGCCGCCCTCGACACGCAAGGCAGATGCTACTTCAAGGCATGCATGGCATACATACGTGACACACACAGATACATACGATACATGCCATGCACGGATAGGATGATGAGCATGGATGTGTGTGCTGCCGCGTGTGGGTGGTGTGTCCAGAACCACGAGACCAAATCGACACAGTGGGAGGACCCGCGAGAAAGTGAGCAAGCACAGCACCACAGACAGCACTAACACAGACAGCACTCACTAAGGCAGGCCGCCCACCATTGTCTTTGATGCATGTGTGTGTTCCTATCTATCAGCTGCTGATGCGGACACGTTGGCTCGTTGGCGCGAGGAGGAGCGCGAGCGGTGGTGGTACGAACTCAAAAAGAAAACCCTAGAGGAACTCAAACAGGAGGTGAGGAGGCACACATTCGTCACGTCCGTCGGCCATACCTACCTATACACTCACTCAGAGAGATGCGCTACTCTGCATGGATGGATGGATGGATGTCACGGATGGTGGGTGTGCTTTAGGCTGACGAGGCTGCTGCGCGCGAGGACATGGAGATGCTCAACCTGGGACAGGAGGGCAGCTGAGAGAGATTAGATTAGATGGACCGACCGACAGACACACAAGCCCGCACACACTCATCCACTCAGACATCCATCCATGCATACCCACCGGCAGTGTGCGACCTTGGCAACCTTCTTGCTTACACACCATCCATGCTTTGCTCGGTCCTGTGTCCGTCCGTCTGCTAGCGTCATGGTTGCCACTGCCCGCCTACTGACTGCTTTGCCTCGCATGCAGCTTTTGCCCCACTCACTGCCGCACTTACAGCACAGCTAGCTGGTTTCCCGCTGTTTTGTTTCCAAGCTTGTTGCCTTACTAAGTGTCAAGTGCAGCGATGTGCGCGTGCATCGGTTTGACCGACCGATGAGTGAGGAATCGGTTGCCTGCCTGCCTGCCTGCCTACCTGCCCGTCTGTCTGCCTGGACGGATGGATGGATGGATAAAAGGATGGATGTTGTCTTCGTGACGGTTTGTGGTCGGTGTGCGGCTCTTTGCGATGCTGCCTGGATACTTGCGGCCAAGAACTCAGCCATAAGGGTCCTGGTTGCGGGCGAAGAGCTGCACTTGGCTCCAACCGAGCAAATCACGATAGAGCACGGCGGATGCATGCAGCTGTTTTGTGTGTTGGAGGAAGACGTGATTGATAGACAGCCGTGCGTGTGTGTGTCCGCGCTGATATGGGTACCTCTGGCTAGAGCGGCTTGGAAGGAATGTCTGGCTGTGTGTCGCTGTCTGGTGGGGTCCCTCCCTCCCTGGCTGCCTCGATATGTATGTCCCGTACGTTACATGTATGTCTGTACGTACGTGCGCACACCAAGACACACACTGACTAGATGGACTCACTCACTCATTTACTCCCTGGCTATGCACCTTACCTCGCTGGCCTCTGCCCCGGACTCTCTCCCACATTAATGAGGTCTGCCGTCCCATAGCAAAGCATATTAATCGAGCTCAAATGGGAATCTATCCATTCATCTATCCATCAATTTTGCCTTTTCTTTTCGCTTTTGGCAGCCACACGCACCAAGACGTACAGCCAATGCCCTCCAAGACCTCGGAGAGAAGAAAACCTCCATACGATCCATCTGCGAGCTTAGAGCTGCGTGGAAACGAGGGGTCGTTTTGACGCGACGTAACGGAAAGCGACCAGAGCGTCTGATGACGACAGCGGAGATGCTGCCCTTGCCGATAGACAGCCTGTCTGAGCGCATCGAGGCCGTCGAGCACCAGACACGCGTGGCCGTTTTGATGCTCTCCGGCGCACTTTGCCCTGTAAGCCAAGATGACACGTGACACACAGACAGATTCACTCAATTGGATTCACTCACTCGTCGATTGTGCGTTTAGGTGCACAATGGCCATTTGGAGGCGATGGAGGTCTGCCGGGCTGCTGTGCAGACCATCTTCGGGGTGCCTGTGGCGCAAGGTAGGTAGGATGGACGCCTTGTAGACGCCTTGTAGGCAAACCACTTGTCAGTCAATGTCCTGTGTGCTGCATGCCATGCCATGCAGGATATTTGATCCCGTCCTCCGAGCAGTACGTAGACAATAAGCAGGCCAAAAAGGGGGAGCCTTCGCTGAGCCTGGCCGACCGTGTCAGGCTCTGCGAGGTGGCCTGCCAGACACATCGGCCGCCTGCCGTTGGGTCAGCGTGGCTGTCGGTGTGTCCATGGGGATGGCACAGCAGCTGGGCACTGGCCGAGTGAGTTCTGTGTGGGAGGAGATGAGATGTCGAATCATGGTGCGGATCGCATCTGTCGTGTGTGGTTCAGGGAGCTGGCCAAGGTCATCCCTCAGCGAGTCGACATGAAAGGCATGAAGCTCGGTACCGCCACATGCGTGGATCACCTGCACAACTGAAAGACAATCAACGCCTCTAAGCGCTGCGTTATGCCTGTGATGTGTTTGTCCGTTCGTTGGTTCAGAGGTATGGGAGGTGGCCGGTGCTGACTTCGCTCTCCGCTGCAAGCTGTGGCGCCAACCACAGTCACTCGAGGAGCAGCGACACCGCCGCATTGTCTGCCTGGAGCGACAGCCAGCCACAGACACCATCCGACACGAAATACTCAGGCAGCACCACCACAGGACCGTCACCGTCACCCTGCCATCCATCCAACAGCGGCAGCAGCAAGTGACGGCACACCTTGTGCCCTTCACCCACGGCAATGCGTCTGCGTCGACACTAGCTGCGGACGGTGGCGTGTTTGTGCTGCTGTGCGGAGCTGGGGTGCTGATGCGGCTGGGTGACGCGAGTAGCACACGTGTGCGGGAGGAGCTGGGCGTTGACGGCGGCATTGGGATGGTGCGTGCTGGGTGGATGAGCATGGAGGTGGTGGATGCCATGAAGGGCATGCAGTGGAGGCAGGGGTGGGGACGAAACAGATGGTCGGGCGGGTAGGTAGATAGATAGATAGATAGCTGGATGGCGGTGTTGTGAGAAGGGAGTGCGTATTAAAAACTGTGTAAATATGACTGTTTTTTTTTCACTTGGAACGCAAAGACAGCGTAAGACAGAGCCTTCCGCACTCGCCATTGCCAGCGGTCTGGTCTTCGAGACAGACGGACAGGCAGACAGACTTGGATGGGGCTGACAGAGTGGCCGGGTGCATGGCCTTTGTATGTGGAGACTAGACAGAGAGAGACATGGAGACAAATGAATGCTTGTGTATTGACTGACACGGCGGTGATTCACCGGTGGCAGCTATGGATGGACAACTTGGACGTCTGCAACGCGTTCCTCATCGTCGACTGTGACTGCTTCGCCTTCATCGATTGCAGTAGGTTCGATCGAACTCCCCCCTGTCTGCCCTATGTCTTCCTTTGGTCTGACTGGTCGACGCGAGAGAGGAGGAGAGCGAGCACGCTGCTTTATTCCGTGACGGCTGCTTGGCAATACCTTGTTTGTCTCGTAGTGATCTGCCTGACTATCTGCCTGACGGATTCGGCAGGTCAGTGTAGGTCAGTGCTGTATATTTGGCGGTCTGCGTCACGGCTGCAGGGAGAGACAGAGGGGAGGAGAGGGGACATCGACTGTCTGTCTGTCTGTCTGTGTGTGTGTCTATGAGGGAGACACAGTGCCTCTGGTGTGGTCGACTCGCTCTTTTAGCCATCCTTGGTGTGTATACAGTCAGTCTGTATATCTTTTCCTCCTTCCCTACCCTCGCGATCGTCTTGCATGCTCAGCTTAATGGACTAGTCTGAGCGTATCTGAGCGTTTTGGCCCCGATGCACCGGCAAATGCTTTGGGTGTGACGACATGTCCTGTGCTCCTGGTCGTGCATCAAGCTGAAAAGATCAGTAAAGCCCCATTACACACATTCAAGTACAGGTACAAACAAGGCGAGACATAGCGAAAAAGAAGCCGCCCGTCTTGGTTTGAAGTGCCATCTGGACACCCTGTACCGGCAGTACACATGAGGAATCCGCAGTCCCAGCAGCACCCGGGGCATCACATTGGCGGATAACGTAAGTCCAATACCTGCCCATTAAAAGACCACAGACGGCGAGAAACGGAGACAACCCCAAACCATAACTTCTTTTTGGCGATTTTTTCAATCCGTCTGTCAAGAGAAGAGCCCGCCAGTGCGCCAATTCCCAGCAGCCCCTCCGTCACTGGCATCCCCTTCACGAGGCACCACTCGTTTAACATGCGCCCGCCCCATCTTCAGCAGCATCCCGCCCCCTCCCATCACAGACGTGCACTTCACGGTGCGATACTTCTTCAGCAGCCGGTCGGCGCAACTGAGGGAGATGACCGACGGGAGGGACTGCCTGGTGCGCTTCCTCGTCCCTGACGAGCTGAGGCTTGCAAGCTTCAAGGAACATCGGGGAGAGGAGCCGCTGAGAGGCCATGAGCTCCTGATGTGGAGCCAGCTGCTCCACACTCACAGTCCTGCCACCCAAGGACAAGAATTCCAGCTGCCGTGACGACGAGGAGGCCGCAGGAGCGACGACGACGCTCAGAGAGCTCGAGCTATCGGGCCCGTACTTCGCTGTGGAGACCCTCAGTAAGCTCGAGAAAGAGAGATTGGGAGGAATGACAAGAAAGGACGGAGGGAATATCTTCGGATGCAAGTCACGTGTGTATCTGTTTTGCAAGAGTCGGACGGAGAGGACGGGACGCCCCTGACCTGAACGAGGTCATCGTGGCGCGAACGGCGCTCAATGCAGCCCGCTACACCACTCCAGCCCCCCAGTCTCTACGGTCCGGGCGGCGGCAAGAAGCTCAAGCCGTCCCTGATGCCCGCATTCGCCGCCAAGAACCGTCGCGCCATTCATGAGGCGCTGCTCGACACTCTCGCTCTCGCGAGGGACTTGCAGCAGCCCTTGACCTGCCCGCCCTTGTCCCCTGAGACCGCCGTGCCCGCCAATTGGTGCCCGCCGCCCCGCTGTCGCCATCCCTGCGTGCCGAATGGCTCCTCGAGAAGCCAGCAGTGCCATGCAAGGCACCCACTTTGTGGCGGCGGGAGGGCGGGAGGATGAGGTTGCTCCATGGCGACATGCACCCAGACAACCTCATGGTCACCGGCACTTTGGGCAGCGCTGAGAGCGCGCCGGCCCTCGACATTCGGCACATCGACCACGAGTGCATCCATGAGGTTACGACGGAGCGGCTGCACTGCCAGGTGGGCACCCCCGACAGCTACGTGCCCCTCAACTACCGCCTCGCTCTCGCCCGAGACAAGCACTTCCAACCAAGACACCGACAGCTACGGGGTGGTAGTGGGGGTGGCGTTCGCCGCCTTGGCCGGCTATAAGGGGCTGGCCAGTCGCTTCAAGGGCTGGGCGGGACAGAAGGCGCATCCCCGGGGCAACTTCGTGAGCGTGTGGTCCGTGCCGAAGCGGCAGATCAAGAACATGCTCATGTCAACGGAGGGCAAGAAGAAGCTGCTGGAGGGAGAGGGCCTGCGGATGGAGCAGCAGATGCACAACGGCATGATGCAGGCCATCAACGCGGCCATCGAGGAGGCGCGGGCGAAGACGGCCAGCAGAGAGGAGCTGAACGACCTGTACATCGCCAAGGAGTGCTTCTCCTTCGTCAGCCCCCAGGAGGAGCCCTACACCCAGCCCCTCGACACACTCATTGAGCGCATCAACCGCATCATCCACCAATGAGGCGGCGTCGGTGGTGATGAGTAGGAGAGCATCGCAAGTGATATGTGGCGGGTGGGTGCACATCGGATCAAGGAGGGCAGGATGGGCCGGGCCGGCGTGGAGACTCGTGCGGTGTGTTCTCTCGGGCGGGGGAGGGCGCCGTCATTGAGTATGACGTGTCAAAGGCGCTCGTCGAGGCGCTCTATGCTCTGATGCCGGCACTCAAGGTCAGCAAGAGCACACAGTGTATTGTGTGTGTGAGGATGCCTCTCCCAGTGTGTCTGTCTGTCTGTCTGTCTGTGGTGTGTCAGGCTGAGTGTGGCGACGGTATGTAGCTATCTCTCTCGTATATATGTATGTGGGGGTGAGGTGAGGTGACGTGGGGCCGTCACGCACGAGCTCGGGCATGGTGCTGGTGCTGTCGCTGGTCAACGCTTGGCGCGATTCTCACAATTGATTAATGAGACAGACCATCATGCTTGCCTGCGGTACCGCTGCCTACATTTTATATCAGTGAGGCTTTTGCTATGCTGAACCTGGCACGCCCGTTTCGCACATAGGCGGGCGTAGTGTGGAAGGGCGAAGTGCTCCAAACCGCTTGTGAGACAATTATATGGATGGACAAGATATACACGTCGTTGCGTCGTCATGTCTCGATCCGAATCCGTGACAGTGGGTGATTCATTTGATGCTGTCCGTCGACTGGGATGAAAGCCAATCAGGAGAACGCACACATCGTACATGCACTCGCTCACGCAGCATCATCATCCTCTGCTTCCTCTGCTTCGTCTTCCGCTTCTTCATCGCTCTCCCCATTCCCTTCAGCAGCGTCACCAGCAGCAAACGAGTACACACCACTCGTCCCGTCGTCCCCCACACCCCCGCCATCTTGCGTGGGATACGGGACGACCGTGATAGAATATTTCTCAAGCTCCTGCTCGTGCACCCCATATGGCAGTGGCACTGCATCCACCGACGTGCTTTCCAGCGATCCCCGGCCTGGTGGTGGCTGGGGGTTTGGCGGCCGTATCGGCTCGTCTGATAGGCCGAATGGCGTCGCTTGCATGGAAATGGTGGGCACCTGGTGGCTGTTGAGCAGCTCCGAGGGCTGGATCAGCACGTCGAATTTGGCGAGCCTTGTGTCGTCGGCTGGTGGCTGTGGTTGCGAGGGTGGGTGTTTGTCTGTGTGGTCGTCGGTGTTCTGCATCATCTGCGATGTCTCTGAGTCTTCGAGTATGCGGGCCATCTCCGCGTGGCGCATGAGCTCATCCTGTCCCAGCTGGCGACGCACGGCAGCCTGCAAGAAAAGCATACATGCATACGTGCATTCCACAGAAGGCCTGAGTGCGTGTCGGTCCTTCCAATTCATGTATGTCTGTCTGCTTACCGGTATGCTGTTGCGCTTCGCTTTGTACTTGAAGTCATTGCCGTATCTGATGTCATAGGCAGGAGACACAGATAAGTGTCTGTCTGCACATCCATGAAAGCAAGGCATGTCTTCTCCCACTTCGTGTCGACTGTCATGGTCATCAGCTGCTGCTCAAAGGCCTGCAGCCATACAGCGACCACAGTGTATTTGTTTTTTGTGTCTCCCTTCCCTACATCCAGTTCTCACGTCGATGGCTGAGACAAGCTTGTCCATTTCTGGTGACGGCGCACCTGTCCTTGCTGACCCGCAGAAACACAGAGACTGGCTTGTCACCTCTGTGTGTGTCTGCGGACCTGTGGTTTGCCTGGACTGCCTTTTGTGTCTGGCGGTGGATGCCTCGCTGCCCGGCTGTGAGGGTCTGAACGGCTTGGCCGTGGGCGTGTGGCTCACTGAAACGCGATACGTCGAGCCATAGCGCTCGGCCACCAAACCCTGCATGCATGGACAGAGAGACGTTATGTCTCTCTCTCTCTCTGTCTGTTTGGGAATGGGGGATGAGGTGTCCACTCCTCTTACTTTCCAGGCCTCCTGCGCGACACCAGTGGCTGGCTTCAGGGTTGCCTGCACAGTCAGTAATAAAAGGAAAGCCCGGACGCACAAGTGGATATCTCCCTCCTGCCTTCGATCCTTTATCGCTAGAAGTACTGACCTGTGGTCTGGGCCCGGCCGGTGGCGGTGGCAGCCCGGTGGTGGATTTCTGCCACCTCTTTTTGAAGATGGTAGCTACATTGGGCGAGATCTCCCCCATTTGGGCTCGCAGGGCGGGGGGCGACCGCCGCTGCAACACGTCCACCGCACTCTTGTAGTCGGCGTATAAAAGATCTCTGATGACATCAAGGCAGGCAGGCAAAGAGAGACGTGCGTTTCGGGCATGTGGATGGATAGAGAGGTGACTGACTTGAAATCTCTCATACAGCCAATGGCCTGTATGTCTGCGAGGGGATTGGCTTCCTTAGGCTGAGCCAGCAGCTTAAGACGCGTGCTCAAACGAGGCACCTTGCCATGCCTGAAGCCACACGATTGTTTGCTGTATGTGTGTCTCTCTGCATCTCATACTTGTACCCGTTGAGCATGCGGCCATACTGCCCGGAGAGCTCCTCAAGCTAAACACGTACATAGATCCATCCATAGATATACGCCGCCTAGTAGCCCATCAACACACACCAGGTCGTTGAATGCTTTCCTCTTAGCGAGGTCTGTGCGGATCTCCTCGCGACGAGCGTTACGCCATTGATGCAACAGATCTGACGTTACCAAGAACGGCATCTGCACCATTGCACTTTCGTATCAGATGCGCCTTGCCTTGCTCACCCTCTCGATCTCTCTCGTCCTGCAGCCGATCCAGAATCACCTCAATCGCCTCTGCCCGACCAGAACAAGTCGGTGTGAAGGATTCTGATCATTGGTCATTTTGCAGTGTGTGATGGCAGACCTCTGTCTTTGTGCAGCATCATGGGCGTGATGATCTTCTGCAGGGCACGGGGCGGCATCGAATTCAGGTCCGTCCAGTCATTGACTCTGCAAACAACACGCGTAACCTCCGCGTTGTTGGCTTCTGGAGTGAGTGAGTATGTGTGTGTTTCTGCAGGCAATGAATACTCACCCCTCCAGTATGTCCTTGATGCCCTTGGGCGTTGGCGCCCAGCTAGACCACGTCGCAAGCTGCACGCAGACACACGACCCTTGCTTTGTCTCTCTTTTTCTGGTATGCATTTTGTGTATGACGTACTGCATGTCTCTCCTGCCGCCGCTGATCCGTCCTCTCGAGAGACCGCTACGAGAGGAACACAGTATGCCTGTCTCTGCCGTGCCCTGGCTCGCAAAGAGACATACACACGCACCTCCCGCGAAGCGTTAACAAACTCTCTCTTTCTCTTCCTGCGCATAGAAAGCACAGAATGCTCGGCGGTCGACGCGTGTACGTGCACCCATCGTGCCGACCATGCGTCCTCCTTGACGGCCGTCTTATCGATCTCGTCAAGCAAAGGAGCGTCTGCACCTCATACGTCACCACCCATATGCAGTAGGACAGAGGCCATACACACACGCACCTGCGATGGTGTTGGGTCCGTGAAAGAATCGCCAGCTTTTTGGCCCAGCATGGATAGGGTCATTCCTGCCACCAAGAGAGAAAGATTCGATCACAGTTTCAGATTTGAAACATGCGGGTATCTACAGATGTGTGCATACCAGAGGTTGTCATCCTGCACCCTGTAAAACGACTGGTTTTTGAGCAGATGTCCGCCGGTGAGGAAAAAACGCCTGATACAGACGAACAACCGGGGCACACACGTCTGCAAGTGTGCGTGTGCCATACGAAATGGTTGATGTGTTGAGCCCCTCATCTTGCTTGAGTGGCTCCCAACCCACAAACCCCTGACTGGAGCGATGCTCATGGAAGGACTGATCATCACAAACAGTCAGACAGTCAAGCAGACGAACACACATTTTGCCTGTTTGTTTCTGTCCCTTTGCAGTGCAGTTTCTCTCACCTGTGCAGTCTCTACTTGACTCTCCTCCCAGTTCCGAAGGCCGTATGTCAAAGCCATTTTCAGTCTGCGAGCTAAGCCCAAACCCTTCACGTCACAAACCCTACACTTGACCCGTCGCGAATGCAAAATGCACTCCTCCATCTTCCCCCTGTCGGAGCTATGGAGAAACAGAAACCGTAACACACAAACACTCACACATTCGTTCATTCATGATCGATATCTCCGTCGGTCTGCATCTCCTGCGTGTCTATCTATCCTGTCAGCCCTGTCGCTCATTCGAGGCGTGGCACTGATAGGAGTGCCCTCTGCAGTCGAGCTATGTGGCGATGGTGAATCGGCCGACGGGGATGATTCATTGCTGAGCGAGGCCAACAGCGGGACGGCGTCATTCGCGTCGGCCGCAGTGGGTCTGGAGGATGTGTTGGCGTCGATGTGGCAGCAGCAGAGGGAGAGTGTGGCCGTCAGGGGCCAAGTCATGGCACACCTGCCAAACAGCAACACTTTCAGGGAACAAGCACGCACACTACCGCAGGTACGCGTTTCAGCTGCACAGACACATGCATGGGACCTCCGCTGTCTGTCTGTCTGTCTGTCGGTCAGTTGTGTTTCCCTCACGGTTTGAAGATCGTCCGCTCGGCCGCCCCGCCCCCCAACCGGCAGGCGTGCGTCGTCCTCGGCGACATCGCCACACAGCGCACATACGTTTCCCTCTACATTCAGTACCTCCCATGCAAGCAACTGGAACAAGAACAGCAGGAGCATGACGCAGCCACAGCGGACGGCAACAGCAGCAGCTCTTCCGTCCTCTACCTGCCCCTGGTGCTGTGTCTGCTCTCCCACGTGAATGCGCTCCACACGCTGAGGCGGCTGCTGCATTATGTCTGGCACCATTTCGACGAGCAGGAGCAGGACGAGCAGCAGCAAGGGGGCGGAGGACAGGCACAGACGGACGGAGATGGTGCGTATGGCCTTTGGTATCGGCAAAAGGTGGCTGGATGGGTGGCGTGTCTGCATTGGCTGTTGGACGTGCCCTCTCCTGCGCCGGGGACGTCGGTCGTCATGCATATCGGTAAGTCACAAGCTCTGCCAAGGGAATGGATTGGATATGCATTTGTGCATTTGTGGTGTGTGCAGATGACGGTTCGTTTGGCGTGGAGCAGCCTTTTCCCTGGGAGCTGCCACTGTGCGACCTGCCCATGCAGCTCCTCTTCAGGTGACATATACCAACACGGCCACCAATTGCGTACCGCCAGCGTGTGTACCTCCTTGCTGTGGCACACACGTGTGTGCAGATGTCTGTCGGTGTCGGCTGTGTACTTCCTCATGAAGCTGCTGCTGCTGGAACGCAAAGTGAGACCTTCATATACATGTCGTTAATCGCTCAAAGCAGCAAATGTGTGTGTCTGTGTGTGTGTGCTGTAGGTGGTACTGGCGTCGCGGTCAGCGCACTTGCTCACGTGTGCAGCCGAAACCGCCAAGGCACTGCTGTATCCTTTCCATTGGTACGGAAGGAGACGACCACGTACACACACTGCAATTCAGCGTGATGTTGGTGTGCCAGGCAGCACAGCTACATGCCCATCGTCCATCGAGCAGAGCTCCTAGAGGTAGGTCAGCAGAGAGCCAGCACAGACAGACAGAAGAGAACACACCTACCTACCGAGCTCCCCTCCCTCGTCTCGTTCCGTAGGCTCCCCCGCCATTCTTCTACGGCTACCTGAAGACACCTGGAGCGCACCTCCCACACACATTCGGCAGTGCAATCTCTTTCGACGGCTCGCCGCAGTGCGACTACATCCTGTTCGACCTAGACGGGGGTGCCGTGGTGTCTCCGCCTGGGCAGCCCGCGCTCGCAGACGTGCCCAGCATGCCCAAAAGGGCTGAGAATGACCTGATCGGGGCGCTGCAGGTGGGATGGGATGCCTGTGAAAGGGTGGGTGGCTGGATGAAGATGCCCGCGTTGTATGACTCTGTGCCGGCATTTCATTGTATCAGGCCGTGTGCATGCCGTTCATCGACCGGCTGGACTTGGCTGACCCATCGCCCGTTGTGGGAGCCGCATCGAGCCACCATCACGAGCATGTAAACAATGTGGTGGAGGATTCCTCCCCCACCCATAGCTCATTCGCACCGTCGTCCAGCCATCTGGGGAGCCCTGAGCTCTCACCCACACCCGCGGCAGCACCCAGACGGCGCATCCCATCCGCTGTCACACCGACTCCCTCGTAAGCCTGTGTCACATGCGTACGTACGCACAGAACACAATGAATGTCTCTATCTGTGTATACCTCAGGTCATCGGGTCGCGCATTTGCGGAGGACGCGTATCTGCCGCCCCCGCCCCCTCTCCCCGCAGACGACCAGTGCCAGCCCCACTTCAACGCATACGTGCGCCTGGCTTTCCTTAAGTTCACTGGCGAGCTCCTGCAAGACGTCTTCTATGCGCTCGACCATCCTCCATCATCCGTGTCGTCACCGCGCTCATCTCCCCGGCCATCTCTCCCCTCCGGTCTGCCCGCGCCGCCCTCACCGCCGTCGCCCCCTCTGCTGCGTGAGCGGTCGAGCTTCACGGATGGGTGTGATGTGGTGCGCCGCGGCCTGAGGGATGACTGCAGGGGGTGGGGTGCCGGCGGGGGTGCTAGTGAGTTTCCCTATGAGTCGTTTGTGGATGGGCTGATGCCCGAAGTGGTGCCGTTCTACCAAGAATTCTTCCGGTGAGGGAACTCAGGGCATCTATATCGGTTGCTGTGTATGTGCCGTGCACGTGCGCGCCTTGTTTGCAGGACCAACTGCTGGTTGGCATTCCTGGAGGCGGTGACGGCTTTTCGCCCCTCGTCCTTCGAGTTGTGTCTTCACCACTACTTCCCATCCATCTACCCAGAGCTGGCAGCCACACATCTCACACAGGTCCCACCACTGCCGCCCTTCCCCAGGCCGCCCAGCATGAAGGACGACCATTGCGACCAGAGGAGAGCAGGCGCCGGCTCGGCATATCCTGAGGGGCTTCGGATGTCGTTTCTGAAAAGTGCCCTGGCGCACGGGAGGCGACTCGTCGAGAGAGAGAAAGGAGACGAGACCGACTCGCGTTCTACCCCACCCTCGCCACCTCAGCCGCATGTCACGGTCACCCGTCGGTGGTCGTCACTCGATGCGTTCCTCCCCGCCACCCCGTTACCACCACCGCCCAGCCAACCATCATGGACCGGTGCACTGCTACTGCTGCGCAATGACGAGCCACTGGACGACCCCATCTCGCCTTGCCCACCGCCCGACCCGCCCCCACGTGTGGAGCTGCATCTGTTTTGGTCGTCTGGTGACACCGAGGCGGCGAAGCAGAAGAGAGGCGAGCGGGATGTGGGTCGGCTGCATCTCTCGCCCAGGAAGGAGAGGAGGCGAGAGAAAGACACGGGTGGAGGGGAGGATGATGGACCAGACCCCCTGATGGGGATAACGACGGCCGCAAGGGATGACCCCAATGTGCAGGTAGGCGTGCCGTGCCATGCATGCGACGAACGTCCTTCATGTCTCATTGTCTCCTTGCCTGTGTGTGTGTCAGGTGCTGGGTTATCACTGGGCGCCCAACCCGCCGCTTCCTCTCCCCTCTGCTGCACAAGAGCCGCAGTCACCTTCTCCACCCACAAGGCAGATCCGTCCCCCGCCGCCCATACAGATCCCACCACGATCACCGATGGCGCCTTTGGGTGGTCGCAGACAGCCCCGAAGGATGGAGCGGTTCATGTTGCGTCTTCATTCCAGCCCCCATCTGCTGCCGGCGGTTGACGACACGACCCCCACTACCCCACTTCCCCCCTTCCCTGTCAATAATCGCAAGGAGTCGTTGTGTGACAACCTGCCAGCTGCCGCTGCTGCTGTCAACAAGAGAGGCGGCCAGGATGATGAGCACTACCAGCACCCACTGCCCCACCTGTTCGTCAGGTACGCACCCACACGAACACGCACTCATCTACAAAACACGCATGTGTTGTTTGTCCTTTGACAGCGCCCTCCGTGCATCTGGCGGTCATCTTCGCCGAGGCCACACGCGTCTTGAGGCGCTTGACCGAGGTCGCCACACGCCAGAAGACGGCAGAGCAGCTGCGGAGGCATCTCCGTCGCGGTCGCCATCGCCCTCTCCGTGGGTTCGTGCCATCCCTGACCTGCTGGCGGCTGTGGAGCGGTGTGCGAGCGGTGACGACGGGGGCCATCAGTTTGTGAGTGTGCCGATGAGCGTGCTGGGGATGGCGTGCCACCTCATGGAGAGGGTGGGCGCTGAACCTATAGAAGTCATCAGGTGCGTCAAGGGAACACGTCCAGAAACAAGTACTTCTTCCTTCATGTCGATGAATGACCCTTTGATGTTTGTGTGGTGCATATGCAGGCTTCTGCTGACTGTGTGGCCTCCGCTTCCGTCCATTCTGCCACTGTGGCGGCTCTCACGGCTCATTCAGGTCAGATCCAATCGCACCATCGATCTGCACACGATCCTTTCCCCTGTCGTGTGGCCAGAAAATGTCCCACAGCGAGAGCTCAGTCGCCTCTCTCGTCACCCTCCTAGAGGAAATCCGAGCGCTCGCCAACCCCCACGCACACGCACCGCCATCATGTTCGTCCATGCGGCCGTGTCACATCTCGTCTGCGCCATCTGTGAGGAGCACGGCAATGGCGATGGCGATGCGGGTGCCCCGGCTCCCTCTGAACGCTGCGGCATGTGACGGGACGGCACTGGACCACGCTGTCCAGGAAGAAGCCATGCAAATCGGGGAGATTGTCGGTGAGCCAACAGGGTGGGATGGGAGGGTGGAGGATTCATGTGGACACACATATATATTGTATGTTGTCGGTCTGCAGAGCTGATTTGGACCATCGCAGTGGTGGAGTATGGACCCAAGGTCCACCAGGTACCCATTCACACCAACGCACGTTGAGGGCATTCATCTCACTGCTGCTGTCTTCTCGCCGTCAGCTTGCCGCCCTCGCCCGCGAGGCTCCTTCCAGCCCCTCCCCACCCCCTCTCTCCCTCCTTCGTCCATCCTCCCCCATATCATCACCTCGCCGTCGGTCGGCTGCCGGCGGCTTGGGGCTCGGCTGGCCGGGCAGCGAAACATCGCCACATAGCGGGGGAGAGGGGGTGGTGGAGTGGTACGCATTCCCCGTCGACTCGCCGGTCCTCAACCGAAGCAGAATGTGCAAAAGTGAGAATGAATGCACGCTGCCAATACTCACTAGGCGCAGATTTCATCGGGTCCCTTTCGTTTGCAGGCACGAGTCGCCTCCCACTAGTTGTGGTGACTGAGCTGCTGCTGTCTGCAGCGGAGCTCACACACCGGTGGCTTGAGGAAGCCATGACGGACCGACAACAGGAGGCGGCTGGGCGGGATGCAGAAGCGGCAGCACCATCAGAAAGTGGGGTTGGTTTCGCTATGGCGGTTGCGGGCGGTGTGTCGCTACCTGAGTCGCCGAGGGCCACTGCGGGCGAGAGGAGGGGTGAGGGCTGGCGGCTCAAGAGGTGGAGGGAGGTGCAGAACGACCCCGACAACCAGGTCGGTGTTGGTTGGTATGAGTGCTCTGCTCTACACATCCCCCCATTTGTGCTTATGTGCGGGCGGTGTGTGCAGAGGAAGGTATCTTCGCTAAGGATTCGGTGTGCCGAGCTGCAGCGGGTGGATCCGTCGACGCTCACACACGACGAGAGGCTGGCCTTCTGGCTCAACGCACACAACCTGGGCGTCCTCCTTGCCGTAAGTGATGTCTAGACACCTGCTAGATGTTCTATGGCATGGATAATCCTCTGTGTGTGTGTGTGTATATTCAGGTGTGTGTGCGTCCCTTCCCCTATGGCTTTCTCGGGTGGAGCCACTCGTGGACCACATTACTACGGTCGGTACACAGAGAGAGGGAGGTACAGATGAAGAACGATCGCCTCCTGTCCTGTCCTGTGTCTGTGTCGATTGACTGACGTGTGTGTTCCATTCATTCAGCAAGAGCACGCTGGACGTCGACGGATGTCTGCTGAGTCTGCTGGACATCGAGCACCTCATCCTTCGCACACACACATCGCCACCCGCAGCCAACAACACTTCATCTAAGCTCTGGAGCTCGCCAAGGTCAGCTCAGTCACACACGCACCCCAACACACACACGCACACTCGCCTGTCCGTCCGCGAACTCCCCCTCCTTGTCCTTATAGAGGCGTTTCACGCGACGCGCGTCGAAAGCATGCCCTTGAGAGCGCCGACCCCCTTGTGCCCTTCGGCCTGTTCTTCCCCGTCCCCAGCAGCCCCCCTCTGCGAATCTTCACGGCCGCCCTCGTGCACCACCAGCTGGCAGAGAACACGCGAATGACACTCGTGCAGTCCACCACACTGACGGGGCTAGAGAACGGTCAGGAGAGAAGCCCGGTGGGTGGTGGGGGTTGCGTGACGCTGCCTAAGTTGATGGTGGGTCGCGCCAACGACCTCAAGAGCACCGGCAAGCTCATCGAATGGGTCGCTGACGCGCTTGACGAGGCCGGGCCGCTCGGAGAATTCCTCGAGGACGCACCAATCGTGAGCTGAGAGAGCCATGCCATCATCGAGAGACGGACACACAACACAGCCATGACATCTCTCTTTTGTCTGTCTGTCTGTCTGTCTGTCTGTGTCTGTGTGTGCAGGTGTTGTGTGAGGGTGTGTCCATCACGCTGCAAGAGGCGTGCACGCGTGTGCGCGAGAGCCTGCTGGCCCTCACCCAGGAGGCCGGGACCAGCCAGCACACCCGGAGTCGGCTGCGTGTGGCCTTCCACGAGATGGACTGGAGCTTCCCGCCGCCCCACTCCATCTGCTGCCCCGACCTGCAGACGGACGATGGATGACCAGAGGGACGATGGATGAGCATCATTCTGATGGCGGCCTGGAGGGCTAGTCTGTGGGATGCGTGGCTCGCAGATGCGCAGAGTGCGGACATGGTTGTTTGTTGATCGGCGGGATCGACTGAACAAGAGTAGAGTCATTCGATGGACACCGAATGTCATCGATGGACGGACGGACAGTCAATGCTATTTGCCGACTGAGGCCGGGATTACGTTCATGAGCATATGTCACTGTCGCGTTAGATTCTTCGTCCCATGTGGCTTATCTGCGGCAGTCGGTGCCATGGATGAAGCCAGCGACAAGGAACCCAATGCGTTCAGTGTAAACTTGCAGAAGCGTGGCGAGAGATTCGCGCGACGAGACGGAAACAATGCACAGCCCAGATTATCTGCTACGAAGTCCAATTTCGCCTGTGTTCGGCTTTCCAGCCCTCTTTCGGTTACGGATGCTCGATTCTTTTTTCTTTTCGCCCCGTCGTTGGCTTTTGTTGTCCGCCCCAACTCCCTCCACCCCTCCCAACTCGTCCAGATGTCATCCAGCACTTCCTCCTCCACCAGCGCGGGATAAGGCCTTGCCTGGGCGCCCTGCCTTCTCGGAGTGGCTGGCGGCTGCACAGGGCGCACACACCTTCATCTCGCACGAACCGCCTCCATGAGGTGGGTATGCGATACGTGTGTGGGGAAAAGACAGCACCCACCGAGTAGAAAAGGAGGGAAGGGCCACGATAGGCGAGGCAGCGGTGAGGCGGCGATGCCCATCAGACTCAACGACGAGACGACGTGAGCGAGTGACGCACGTGGAGGGAGGGAGGGAGGGAGGGAGCGTTCATGGATGTGGGTGTTGCGTGTTGTGTTGTGTTGTGTTGTGTTGTGTCTGTATATCCACCAGGTACAGCATAAGCCCCGGGGCGATTGCCCACGCATCAGGCCGCCACCTGCAGCCGCCTCTACCCCAAGGGCGCCGTGCTGACCAGCTGGGGGGGCAGGTACACATGACACACACACGGATGGCACACATACGCGGATGAATGCCCTGTCTGCCTACTGTGTGTGTGCGCAGGGATGGTCGCCATAGCCATGCTGCACAAGGGCATGCGGAACACATTGACATCCTCGAATATGCAAAACTCTAAATAGCTATACGGTAATGTACACTCATTTAGGTGTGCAGGCTTTCGTCCACACTCACTCTGTCTCTGTCTCTCTCGCTATGTGTCGCATGTGTGTGCAAGGGTCGAGCCCAAGAGAGCGTTTTCGGAGGACTACAAGTCCGTGTTGGACCTGCCCCGTTACGAACAAGGGAGATGGTGAAGCAAGATCTCAAGTCGGTACAAACGAACACAACTACGGAGCGAAACGGCGAATTTTGTGTTTGTGCATCAGGGAAGATGCGAAGAAGGCCGATGCTGGCGATGAGAGGGAGATAGATGAGAACGATGTTTGTGCAGCATCAGCACTAGCAACACCCGTTTATGCCCCCCTCCCATCCCTACATGCCTATGCACCATCATTGCGCCGCAAGGCGACGACGGGGCAGCAGTTTCTGCAGCATCAGCCCCAGCAGCACCCCTTTATGCCCCCCTCCCACCCCTACATGCCCATGGACCACCACGCCCACAAGGCGACAGCGACGGAGCAGCAGCAGCCCAGCAACCAGCGCACGAGGCGCATTCAGCAGCCGCAGCCATCAGCATGCCGCCCCGATATTGCCGGCCTCTACCGCGCCAAGGCCGCCGCGACAGAGAAAGGATGGCTGGACAGCATCAACGACGCCCTCAAGAGCCTCTACGCCACCCTCACGTGCCCCCTGCCCTGCTGGCAGACGCACGGGAGCGCACCCAGTGCGCCACAATTCCCCGCAGCGCGGCAGGGAGCGTTTGCACCGAGGCCAGCCATCTACAGCCATCTACCGGCCTGGTCCGCCACCCCGCCCAGCGGCCGCAGCGACACTTGGTGGTTCGCCGCCCTCCCGAACCAGCGTGCCGCCCGCAGCCGGAGGCTCACCAGCTGGCACCACCGCCACCGGCCCCGACTCGCCACCAGCCGACACAGCCCAGCCGCCACCACCACTGCTCATCTCGGGCAGCACTGCACCGCCCGCCAGGCGGAGGAGGGGCCCTCCGGGAAGGTGTGGAGCAGCCAGCTACGAGGAGGAGGACGGCAGCCACCGAGGGGCGCCCCCGCCTCCCACCACCATGCTGCAGTACTTGAAATGGGAGGGCGAGCTCGCCACGGGTGAGAAGGACTGCAAGGGCGACTGTCAGCTGCACAAGTGCCGGAGCGGTGGGGGTCCCATCCCCCCGGGCACAATGTGCGTGGCCAAGTCGCTCGCCTTCTGGATGCTGCCGGACGACACCGACAAGGTCGACCCTGTCGCCAAGGTGGCCCGCGAGCTGGCGGATGAGGAGAGCGGCCTCAGACACGTCAACAGCAGCTGTGACGCCGTCAGGCAGCACCGCCTCGGCGACGTGCGGGCCGGTCAGCCACCGGTACGCAGCAGCATCGTCCTCGTGTGGTCAGCATTCATTGCCTGTTGTGTTTGTGGTCAGCAGCATCGTCCTCGTGTGGCTCAGGTGCCCAAGGCCGGTGCAGGAGGTAGATATGTGGCAGGTGCAGCAGACGAGGTGTCGTCGCCCGGGGCAGCGGGTCAACGGCTTGAGGAGCAGGGGCAGCAAGAGACATGACGCACACAGGTATTCTTCCCGTCATTCTCTAGCAATCCATCATACTTGCCTTTGTCTCTCTCTTGCAGCTCTCAACATCGCTTCCTACATTTTATATTCGTGAGAGATATTTTCGCCGAAGCATCGCTCGTGAGAGGTTTGGCTATTAGTTCATATTCGCCGTCTTGCTGAGTTCTGCCTTTCTCATGGTGTCCATCTGTCAGCCACCGGTACGCCCGGAAGGCGACAGCGACGGAGCAGCAGCAGCCGCCCAATCAGCGCACGAGGCGCATTCAGCAGCCGCACGGACAGCCGCCGTCAGCGCCCCACCCCAATATTGCCGGCTTGTACCGCACCAAGGCCGAAAAGAAGGGATGGCTTGAAAGGCTCAGCTGCGCCGTGAAGGACCTCTACGCCAGCCTGACGTGCTCTATGCCGTGCTGCCAGGTGGAGAAGAGCGCGCCCAGGGCGCCGCAATTCCCCGCAGCGCGGCAGGGTCCATCAGCACCGAGGCCGCCCATCTACAGCTGAGAGGGACGACAGGGCGAGGGAGGCGGAGAGTGGGGATGAGGGGGAGGAGAGGAGGCAGCAGCAGGCAGAGGTGGGGCCAGGCGAGCTGTGGACCGGCAGCGTCAACCTCGCTGATATCCTCCACGTGCGCTACGGCCGCCTGAAGAACCCCAGCATCAAGTCGCGGGCCACGGCACGGAAGCTGCAGCTCATCAAGCAGACGCTCGAGCTCCTCAACCTCAGCAAAGGCGTCTATCGCCAGCTCATGGTGTCGTGCCTCTCGTCGCTGGAGGGCATCCATGGGGCTGAGTGGGTGCACGGGGATATCAATGGCCAGAATGCCATGGTCGTGTGGGATCCCGTCACCCGCCGCCTCTACAGCCCGTGGATCGACTTCGAGGTGGCCAGGCCGACCACCGAGGCTGAGCAGCCCCTGACGACCACTCCACCCACACTGTGCCACGTGGAGCCGATGGCGGTGCCCCCTCCCCACTGTGACCCAACGGCACTGAGACGTGTGGCCAAGGTGATGGAGGCGGTCATCGACCAGAGCAAGCCCAGCACGGTCGCAACGGCAGCACCGCACTCGCCCCTCTATGGCGCCTTCAGCCGCATGGCGGACACCTACGCCATCTGCTCGCTGGCCGCCGCCATCCTCATGGGTCCCCACATGGACCACCCGAGCGGCCCCTCGCACAACCACGCCATCTTCTCCCCCGCGACCTTCACGGGTCCCTTTATGGACCCGCCGAGCGGCCCCTCCGACACCCACCCCTTCTGTGGGCAGGAGCTGCCCTTCTTCCCAGGGGCACACGGGTCCCGCAGCACCAGCAGCAGATCTCTGTACGGCCGCCACTTCGAGTGGGTGAAGGAGGAGGATGCGCTCATTAAGGAGGCCATCGAGGTGGGGGGCGAGGGGGGGAGACGGGCGCTGCACGACAT